GGGGGGGGGGGGGGGGGGGGGGGGGGGGGGGGTCAGATTTCTATACAGGAAACCAAATCCGCTATCAAGCATTTTTTCTCACTACCAGTTTTTATTTATTATAAGCTTCTTCCTTATTTGGCGTCTGCTTGCAAGAGATGTCTCGAGCATTCGTTCTTCCTCTTCACACGGAATTGCAAAAATATACAATATTGACATAAAAAACCGAGTGAAACATGATGAATGACAAGTTGTGTACAGGCTGCTCGCCTCATATTCATAATGAATCTTTGACAATTCAGAATGACAAGACACCTTATAAACACGTGAAACACTACTAGAAATGTAACGAAAACAAATTAAAAATCAACTCACCATTTGGAACTTTTGACGGAGCTTGCCGCAGTGCTGAGCGGCATGAGCAGCAGCTGTACAGTGCCCTGATGTTGATGCTGTAAATACCGGACATGCATGTCTTATACACCGTTGGACAAAATATCAATTGTTTATAGAATTATAATAGATTCAGGAATACGTAATATAGAACAGTTGTTAACATCAGTTCAATGGAAGCGAATATGAGGAGATGAGCAGAAGTTGATTACTACTGATTAGGGAAGCAGACTGTATTCCACCTATCTTCAGGTTGGACAGTGAGAATACAAGCTTTGGAGTACGTCTTCTTTGACTTTCGTTTTAAACGTCTTCGTGTCGTGTGGCTAGGGTGATTAGGAATGAAACAGAAGGTGTGATGATCCAAGTTGATGAACAAACACCACGTCAACAACTGGAGAAAGACGGGAAATTGAGTAAAAGCAAAAGCTATGGCTATTGCCTTCCACACACACACAACAGGGTCGCGGGTCCTGTTTGAAAGAGGCGCTGAGCAGAAGAAAGAAGGGGCGGGTCCTGTCAGTTCTGGGGGCAGACGGACGACGGGGGGGGGGAGGATGGTGAAGCTGCAGCGTAGAAAGAAGAGAAAAGGCCCAACATACCCGGGGTCCCTTCTTATCGATCGAGTGCCAAATTAAAATATCCAAATAAAGGAAAAGAATGCTCTGCCATTCTTTATATCTCTCTTTCTTTTTTTTCACATCTTTCTCTCTCTTTGTTTGCGGTTTTAGTCGCTCTCTCATTTTCGTGCACCATTTTATGAAGTTCATCATATTATAGAAGCGAACATCTCAAAACAACAGTGAGAAAGTAAACCATAGCTAAAAGCCCTTCAGCCACGCAATAGAATGAACGCAATAAGGTTAAAGAGAGTAACTTATGCTTTTTAAGTTCTAAAAATATGCAAATGAGTTAGCTTCACCCCCCCCGCTATGATTTCCACGTGTTTCACGTGTATCAAGTATAACACTTATAGCTCATTTTTAATGAAAGCTGACATGCAGAACGGTTGTGCTACTTGCGCGTTCCATCGTTCAATCATATAAAGCCAGTCAGTCAGTCAGTCAGCCACACTACGTTGAAGACGTTTTCAAACGAAATTTTAGATTGGTAAAGGAAGACGTTATGAGAAAATGATTTGCCTAATTAAAACAAATAAAATCCAAAGCTTCATCTTCTGATTAACCGAAACATATGAAATAGGGAGAGAGAGAGAAGTCAGAAGAAGCAATGAGATAACGAGCACAAGTATGAAACGAATTTCGAAGAAACGAAGAAAAAAAAGAAAAAAATGGAAATATTTTGAAGATAATACTCATCGATAGTCATAAGTATGGAGAGAAATGGATCAGATTTCTCAATATGAGAACAATTATTAGAGGAAACTCCGCCTTTTTAATATTAAAAAATATTTTCCACAAGAAGAGCAAGAAAGAAAGAGAGAGAGATAGAGAGAGGTAAAGAGGGAAACTTTGAAGAAGAGAAGGAGAACAATACGAAATACATTGAGGAATAAAGAGAGAGAGAGATTAAGAAGTGGAAGAGTTAGAAGAACAAAGAAAAAAACGAAATAAACGTTAAGAAATAGAAAACAGAAAAACACCTTCCCATTTACAGAGAGTTTTCCCCTCTCTCTCCCTCTCTCTCTCTGTGATGAAAAGTAAATAAATAGATGTCGAAGATATTTTTAATAATCTTATGAACATTGAGATGAAGGAAACAGAGGAGGACACACGCGGAGAAGTACAAACGAGTGAATGCAACCGCTCATTAGCTTTATGAAGGTAGAAATGAAAAATCATATCAACGAAAAGACTGTAAATATGCAAATTGGCAGAGAAGCGTCGAAACAAAAATAAAACGACGACAGGGAAGTTGAAAATGAAAAGAGTGAAGAGAAAATGACATTTTTCGTACAAAAAAGAATGTTTGGAATAAAAACAAATTTGGATAATAAATTGAAAGTGAATATAGTGGAAGAGAAGTGAAAGTAATGGAGCAAAAAGGAAAAAACGAACTTCGAGCTGAATGAAGAAGAGAGGAGAAATGGTTAAACGAAGAAAACACTTGAAATACATGGAAAATTAGGAAAAATTGTAAATGTCACGCGATTTAGTTGATTAGAAGAAGTTCGGAAAAAAAGAGTAAAGAAATCTGTTAGACAGACAGAGAATAGAAAGGAGATAGAGAGAGAGAGAGTAGAAGAAAGAGAAAGGAAGGAGAGAGCAACAGAGAGAGAGAGAGACTCGGTATTTATTAAAATTAAAACGAAATTAGTAAGTGAAATTAAAAATGCAACATTTAAAAATAAGTTTTGGCTCATTTTGAAGTTCATGAAACGGAAATGGCAACGATAACAGGCGGGAAAACTAAAAAAGGATCTCGGATTTGAATTTTCAGGTTGCTACACTACCATCTATGGTAATGTGATAACAGCTGATTATTGGAAAAATCATTCAATATAGAAATTAGAAGTTCGAGAAGTGCTTGTCATCTGTGTACGAAGGAAACTTATGAGATGTGTCCATCAGAAGACAACATTATACAGATTGACATGGAAACGTGTAACAGCTTGAAACGATTGATGGTGTGAGCTGAGTGAAAGCGGACAGTCGAATAAAGCAAATTTGGTGAACTAAAGCCCAGATGGTCAAAAGAGCCTAAAGATGACTCAGAATTGTGGTGGTCGAGAAGACAAGCGAACCCGAATAGCCGTCCAAGGAAATGCAGTGAAGTCAGTTCGTGGTGGTTTGGATTGGTGGGAGACGATTGGTCGATAACAGAGCCGAAAGCTGACTTCGTTAAGCTGAAACGGGGAATCGCCCCGGACTAGACAAGGGAGAAGAAGTGAACTAAAACGAGAGATTGAATTGGGAGAGAGAGAGAAAGAAAGAAAAGAGAGAAACTTCCAAACTACAACTTGGCTAGCCACCGACTTTCTTTATTTCTACTCCCACAGCGTTTTATATTTGATGTCAAGATTTTGAAGCATTTTTGTTGGCTCGTTAGAAGTCAGTTATTTTCATTCATCCTAATGAAAATGAGTTCCAGATGAATGACTGTTCTTATTCAAAATATTTGGAGAAGTGGAGACTTGTACAATGCGATAACAACAGCAGGAGAACGCAGAGAAGGAAAGGAGAGAGAGAAAGAGAGGAGAAAAAGGTATGGAACGGAGCTTGTGCAAGAGGTTGCGAGAGAGGATGATACGAATGACAGTAAGAATGGAGGTACGAGTTGAGAGGTTGAATCTCTAGCTCCCTTCAAACTTGTAACCCATGCATCTCAAATATTGAGCATGTCAGCTGTGCAGAAGTCAGTCTCGTTCGATTTTCCGAGCACGTTCTTTCCTAGCGTTCTCTTCAGAAGTGACCGCTGCCGTCAGCACGAAAAGTAATGTGAGGAAATCACGAAATGTGGCAAATACAAGAAAATGTTTTTATACGAGCTGACAGATTATTTTCATTTTATAACATATAGTTAAATTTATAAAAGAAAACGAGGAAGAGAAGAGAGGATCTGATGGCATGTCGAAAATCTGATTAGAGAGAAACATAGTACTTCTCAAAGATACATTTACACTCGTAAAGTTGACCTCTCTCTCTCTGTGTATAGATGTCTCGCTTGCTCTCTCTTACTCTGTGTGTTTCAGCTTCTTCTTCTTCTTCTATTTTTTCTTTTCATGATATAAAAAGAAGAATGGAAGACCGAGACACACGTAGCAAAGAACAACAACGAAATGTCATAAAACAACATTTTCACTTTTCAATTCTAATATTCTGAAAACATGAGCAATGGTGTTGAATAATTAAGAAGCAAAAACAAGCTTGATATAGCAGAACCTGCGTGATTATGCTATAATTGGACTATATTGTAGTGTAAAATAAGTTTTAAATAAGGATATACAAGAGAGAGAGAGTAGGCGACGGGGGCTACTCAAGTCCTGCCACTTCAAGCTGGCTTAGTTTTGACATGGCAAAAAAGACGAAAAAGTGTTTACTATCATGCTTTTTTTATTGCTTTTTCCTGAGCAAAAAATAAATTTCCCGAAATAAAAGCCAAACAAACGAGTAAAAAAAGAAAATTTTATTAAAAGACAACGAGACACAACCTAGAGTTGCTTTTTCAGGATGGAGAGGGTGGCGAGAATGCCAGGAGGATGACTCTTCTTCAAGAAGGTGGAAACAAATTGAAAGAGTCTAAAAAACACAAAAAGAGAGAGAAAGAGAGAAAAGAGAGAGAGAGAATGAGAAGTAGAGGAATCATGTATGAGGCACACATACACTACAAAGAGAGAGAGAGAGAGAGAGGGTCATCCCACCTAGAGAATGTTAATCTCGACCACAAGTGGAAGATTGAAATTCAAAACCTAACAAACTCTAATTAAGACATGAAAGAGCCCAGAATTACTAAGTTAAAAGAAAAATTATTCAAAAAGCAATTGATTTTCGAGAAACTAACTGGAAATTCGATGATATAAACAAATTAGTTACTTATTGAATTTCTTTCGTAAAGTGCATCGACTTATTTGCCCAAAAAACATGAAACGAAATCTCAAAAAGGCTATTCTACTTTAGAATTAAAAAAGAAAAAAAACTTTTGAAATGATAGATGAATGGAGTAGAAAACAAGTTCAATGTTGCGAACGAACTTGGGTGAGAAGGAGATAGAGGAGGACACACACGCATACACACAGAAAATATATTTTACAAGAGTAAAATCAGTTGTTGACAGCTCTCTATATCATGTGCACATCACTTGTTCGGCAGCAAGATGCGAAGACTTCTTCACTTTCTTGTATTATTTCTCCGATAAGCAATGTTCACTGAGTATTTTAAGATTTTCGGTACTGAATCTAGGAAGGACTAGCTAGTCAGCCAGCCAGCTATCTCAGAATAGACAAGAACATTGGGAGGATTAAAAGAAAAACTGAAGAAACGTGTTATTTTGTGTAAAACAGATAATGGAAAGTGAGTAGGCAAAGCTGTAGAGTTGTGAGAGAAAGCACAAAATCGCATTTGGCTATGGAATAGACGACAGCCTGAGTGCGTAGTATTCGCACCTAATAGGGGAAAAGAAGAAGAAGCAGAAGAAGAAAGAGAAAAAGAAGAAGACGAAGAGAGAGCCAGTTCTTTGAAGTTCTCTACTACGAAGCAGAAGAAGAAGAAGAAGAAGCACAGAGAGTCAACTTGCCTAATGCTTCTTCGTTTTTATACTTTTTCTTCATTTTACAAGATTTTTTTTTCGCGCCAAGAATGGAAAAGTTTTTTATTTCAAAATAAAATAAAGAAAATCATCTTTGTGTTGAATAAAAAACATTTTTGTGAGGCTTTCTTTCACGTATTTACACAAAATTCTCCAGCTACGTCTATATCTAAGGGGAAGAAATTAGATTAGATTATATGCTTTCACACATAAACTTGAAAATAAATTCAGAGATGAGACGAAGAAGTATTAGCTGGAGGAAAAGAGTATGAAACAAAAAAAATGGTGAAAAGAATCAAAAACGAAGTATGGATGAATGAGAGGGAGGAGAGACAAAGATAGAGAGAGAGAGAGAGAAAGCTATGAATACAACCGTTCTGCAATATGACGAGCTAAATGAAATGAAATATTCCGACGTGCAGTTTTCACGTGGAATACGTGGTTCTTGAAATTAGCATATTTCAGCTTTTTTCTTGAAACAACAGAATGAGAGAAGCAATTATTAAAAATCTACATGAATGACTGATTAATTCATAAGCTTAACAACAGCTGCAAACGGAGCGAGTCGAAAGTCAACGTGGGCGAGTACAAATTCTAATAAAAATGAAGGAGAGAATAGGAAGTATTGGGTGACACACCCTGATCTATGAGAATGAAAGATTAAAGAGAGTAGAAATTCTTCCTTGATTGTTGTGGGTGCGAGTTTGAGAGAGAAAAAACAACAAATTTTAACCTCCAAAATGAAAAATAAAGAAGAAAGAGGTTGCGTTGTCGACAATGCTCAAGCAAGACGCTAATCAATGGATGGATGGATCATATCGCCTCAGGGCATCTTGGTTAATCAAATGACAGCAACCGAATATGCCCCAGAGATGGGCACTGCAGTTCAACTTCAACATAGAGAAGTGCTATTTGAATGTGTAAGAGTAGAAAATGAAGTGGTAGAATGAGGAAATAAGTGATCGCAAGGTTGGAAGACAAGACAACTCTTTAAGTCATTGTGACGGAGTGAAAGAAGAGGTGTCGCAAAAAAAAAACTTTTCCTGCTCATTCGCTTCTGCAATAGGATTGGGCAAGCAAAAAGTGATTTGAGGAATAAGATGAACGAAATTGAGTCAAGCTAGTGCTTGATTTAAGTGAATAATGGCAGGATTAAACACAAGGCAAACCCATGATTGTCGAAAAAATGATAAATAGGATTGTCATAATGGCAAACGGATTGGTTAAGAATAAAAAAAGCAAACAAAAAGTTTGAGAATAAGAACATTGAAAGAGACGAAGCAGAATGAAGCTCGACGAAACATGCTAAAGCTGACGAATAATCAAAACATCGCCTGCTAGCTAGTACTAAGGAGAAGCACAACAAGAATGAAAAACTTGGATTGATGTAAGTTGAAAATAAGATCTTATAAGAAGAGAAATAAGAAGAAGAACGACGATAACATGAGGCTTTACTGCTTTGCAAAGAGAACACATGCGAACAACCACAACCGGAGGTTTCAGCTGACAATTGGGCGGCTGAAAAAGATGTGACAGTCAAATCGAATTTTTGGATAAACTGTGAGCTTCTTTATTCTATGAAATTAGTTAGAAGAAAAAGATGGGATGAGAGAGAGAAGAAATGACAGAGAGAGTCGGAGAGAAGAAGTAAAAAGGAGAGGCGAGGAGAAGAATGACAAGATTGGGAAGAAAGCACACAATTCCTTATGAAATTCGAAAAAATAATGAACATCCATTTGTTCCGAAATAATACTTTGAAGTAACGCGTTTATATAATTGCATAAGCCATTATGGGCTGAAAAATTAAAAATTTACTAAGTTTTTACTTTGATGGAAAATGGCAATTCAGACCAAAATTATTGGCAGACGTTCGACATACTGATAGAAGCGACAGAAGATGTGAAGAATGAGAAAGATGCAAGTGAAAAGAAAGGAAGAATGAGTTAGAGAGAGGGGATGAGGAGGGTGGGCAAAGAGGGAAACGAAAGCCCGTTGAATGGCCACTCAAGCGCTCAGTCGCTAAATAAGGCACGCTTATCACAAGTTATTGGCAGCTTGTGTGCATAAAATTAAAAAAAAGGTGGCCTACGAAGCTAATTTGAAGTAAATGACAGTAAAGTCGGTTATAGACAATGGATATGAGAGAGACGTTTATGACAAAAGCTACGGGTTAGGGTGTAGAGGAGAGACACAAAAAGCAAAGCATAGGAAGTGCGGTGGAAAAGAAAGTAAGGTTAGCAAAAAGCTTTCTAATGAATAGCGTACACATGCACAGGACTTACTCTTCTCTATCTGTCTTATTCCCTCTATCTTTCTTTTGCATTCGTCTAATTCTCTCTCTGCTTCATACCACAAACATACTTTATCCCTCGCTCATCTTTTGCTATGAACCATGGAGGACCACTGGGTCGTCGAGTCGAGACTGGGTTTGGAGTCCAGATAGATGATGGATTCGCATTCAGAACATAGCTATTTCTCATCCGCGGTTCAGCCTTCTCTTCTACTCCTCCCCATAGGACTGAGCAATTCCGTTGCTTTGGTTGCTTTGAAAAGTACCCCAACAAGAGCATTTCAGGAGAAACAAATATTTTCCCGGCATTTCACAAATATTTTGTTTGTTTCATAAAGAAGAAGAAGAAGAATAATAAGAAATATACAGAAAATGTGAAAAATGAGAGAAATGGAAATGAGAAATAATATAAGACAAAGACAACCGAACTGAACGCATGCAACTAAGAAATGAATAAAATCGTTACGTGAAATCCACGTACAGGGGTAATTATACTTTGCGCGGGAAGTGATGAAAGGACTCAACGATCACTTTTTGGCTCGCTTTGTCTCTGTTTCTCTAACACTCTCTCCATTATACATGATCTCTGCTTGTGAGCCACAAGAAAAGTACATAAACTTTACAAAAAAAACAAAGAATAGATATAAATCATATGAGTTATGATTGTTTCATACTAGTCAGACATTCCGCCTTCAATTGCTCAAAGCTACATCTCGTTGAAAAATATCTTCAAAGGGCAAGGGTCATAAGCAACTTCATAGGAAATCAAGGTCGATTTAGGAAAAACGTCTGACGGAAGCAGAAATGGCAATTTTCCATTTGCTCAAATGAAAGTTTAGGAAAAGAAAACGGCAAAAGGTATTCGAAGTCAGAAGGAACATGCTAGAAACGCCGAAGTTGGAAGAAGAGGAAATGGGAATGAATGGAAGAAGACTGTGTTAATGAGTAATTTGATATAGCGAAGTGTTAAATTCAAGCCTCAGTTGCTGAACATCAAGAGGCACTTCAACATGACGAAAATGGCTATGTATTGGCTGTATGTATTGAAAATGCTCTCTGAGATGTTTCTAGAAGTTTTCAGCTCATTCAGCAGTTTCATATGTAGCAAGCTTGAATACTAAGAATACATGAACGCAAAGATTTAATGCTCTTGAGAACGTTTTAGACGATATAAAATCCAGACTGGTAAAATAAAAGCTAATAGGAGGAAACAACATGGTTGTCTTACATCATACTTGTACACTACGAGGGAATGGAGTTCGCTGAAGGAACTTAAAAAAAGTCTATTAATATTTAATGTAATGAATAGAACAGATGATATACTTAAAGATAATCCCCGGAAATCTGAGCAACATATGCTTCATGGCTTAACTCTTGAGCAGAGTTCGGGATTCCCAGCCTCTAGGCGGCACATATATGTTAAGGGTGGTCATACATTCAAGAATAAGAGAAAAAAACTCCTATGCGTTCCTGTCAACTAGCTGCCAGTCCAAACTTACGGCTTTGTTCCCAAGAGTAAAATCTCTGAACAGCCAAAAACAATTGAAGACTCGTAATGTGGCTATTTCAGCAATACAAGGCTTATCTGCGGCCAGCAAACAGCAAAAATTTAGTCCCTGAAGAGATCGTTGATGAATGGTGGAATCAAGATGATTACTAATACCATATAAATGAACGCTTTATCAAGAGTTGTCTAATTGTCCCTCAAGCGATGAGGAAGCCCATGAGAAAGTTGTCATGAACCCAGAGCTTCGTTTAAAGAGCAGATAGATGGTTAGTCTTACTTGAAATGCGTCAATCGTCTCACAAACATGGACACAGAGTACAAGTATCGAATACTTTTAATAAACGAAAACAATAACCGACAACAATCGTACAACAAATGCACATTCAACAAAGTATAACATATCAACAACTAACAATTTCAATTTCTTTTTCTCTTTTTAGCTGGGACCTCCTGTTCAACTATAACGTCATCATCGCTATCGTCATCCTCCTCCTCTTCGTCCTCTTCTTCCTCTTCTTCCTCGTCTTCATCTTCCTCTTCTTCGTCTTCATCTTCTTCATCATCATCATCATCCTGATCAGAACCATTCTTTTTCTCATCAACAGCCTCCTCCTCGTCGTCATCGTCTTCATCATCATCTTCTTCATCACTGACAGCTTCTTTCTGGAAAGGCTCTGACAGTTAAATAAAGAGAACGAAGCATACTTTGATATCTTCCCAGTTGATTTCCTCTTCTTTCTTTAATATAGAAAGAGAGGTGCTCATTAAAATCTTGTTCATCCTTGTTTTACAATAAATCTGAGAAAAATTGAAGATATGAATCAAAGCCAAACACTAAGGGTATACCTTATACTCAAGCTTCCTAGTGTTTACTTCATGAACCCGTACAAAACGATCAATTCCACAACTAGCGACGTAAGGTTCTGTCTCATGAGCAGAGATTGAACGTATGGAACCAGCTTGTCCTTTATACTTGTAGACTGGGTTTACTGCAACACAACGGTATAACAGACTAGGAAAACAAATTTCCAACCTCGACTCCTTAGGTCGAACAGTGCCATCTCTCCAATAGCGTTAGCAGCTATGACATGATTCTCACGATTGCAGAAAGACATAGCAGTGATGGGGCAATCCATGAAATTTATTCTCTTCACCGGGCGTCGTTGAGTTCGTGGGTCATAAACTCTCAGCTGAACGCAAAGTGATTGAGGAGAACATGATTTAAATAATTACTTCGTGAACTTTGGATGCCTCAACTATCATTTCACTTTTAGGATTGAACTGAGCGTCTACGCAAAACACGGGCACTTCAAGTTGGAGTTTATCGAGATGAACCTGAAAGAAAACCAGTGTGACAGACTCTCAGTTCGTCTTACGTTTCTAGATGACCAGATCATCTTACCAGTTTCCATATCCCAAGTTTTTATAAGATTTTTAGTACCACCGGTAACTAAACGTTTCAGCTCGTTGCTACCTAGATAATGGAGCGTGTGATGCGTGTTACTCTATGGCGAAACCTCGCATTGTTGTGATTCGTGGTCCAACTTCGAAAGAGAGTTCTTTCTCTCCTGTTCGTGTGTAAGCGGAAAGGGTACCAGATTCAACACATGTGAAAATTTTGTCTCTGAAAACAAGCTGTTTGCGATTTTATAGGCAGGTTTCCGTACTCTGGAGTCAGATGAACTCCCTTTATAGGACCAGTTCCATCTTCGACTGAGAAAAGAGAGCTCTGTAGTAGTTTGTCATAATCAAACACTTTCAGCTGCCTATCAAGATGAGCCGTCAACACTTCCAACTGTAATATTGTCTTAAAGAGAAACTCCTGAAATATCGAACTTACTTGATTGGCTTTACTCCATATCATAGCAGTAACCTCATCCTTCTTCGGATTAAGGTCCTTGATGGAAGTGAGATTAGAGAAGTTCTTTTCCCGCAAGTTTATTCCTCAAAAAGTATGATCAGTTGTGAGAACAGGTTAATAGGAAATACCTTTTAAGGCTCCCGTCTGTCCTCCTACAAAACAATCCATCCTAACTCAAACACTAGAAGTAAATTAAACAAAATTGGTGAAAGAGTTCAGTACGCTTAACATGGATACATACCACGGCTTTGATAAGTCAGACATCATAAAACGTTTTTATGCATAAGTTAGATAAGTTAAACCCGTTTCAGAAAGATGAATGATAAGTTACAGAGAGATCAATTATTTACAGATAATCAAAATCGAATACCTCTTTCCATTGCTAATTTAATGAAAATCAAAGCTTCTTGTAACTGCGCACAAGATGCAGCAGTAGGAGGTTGGACTGGCCTGACTACGGGTTCCTTAGGTCTTTGAATGCTCGATTCACCGCCGTCATGTCCCTCGGTAGCACTAGAACATCCTTGTTTGGCAGGAACCATGCAACCAGTATCATCAACATTTTTCCGTTTCTGAAAAATTGTAATGTAACAAGCACGATTGTCTTAAACCAAACCTTGTACGGCCGTCGTTTACTGTCAATAGACAGCATTGGATCTTTTACTATTTTATCTATATCCCCGTAATGTTTTTCTATTATTTTTCCGAAAACCTTCTGAGTGTGCATGATAATCAACTTTCTCTTATGTCTGGAATTAGAATGATAAGCTAGGTTTGAAGAAGCAAAACTTACTTCTCCAACATACTCCACAAACGATATATATCCGCTTTAACCGATTGTATGCGATCTTTATTTATGACAGTTGCAATCGCTTTGATACAGTAGTTGCAAATCGAAGTATGAGAAGTGTAAGGTATTCTGTCTCTGAGAAGGATAGTTTTACTGTGAATCGAAATGATGAGAGATCTTACTCTTCTTCACAACCTATTTCATTGGCTACAGCAGTCAAGATGTTCATGAGAGTTCCGAGATCTTTGATCTTAACACACATGGAAACTGTTAATCTTAACCATCGGTCGAAATGGAAAGTGAACGAGCCGGAGCGATCGATGTCACTTGATGTTATGAGCACAACATTCTAAAGCCATTATGAGACCCATTCGAAAAAAAATAAAAACCTCAAAGAATAAGTTTTCTCTCTTTTTTCTGCGATATATTCCTTTGAACAAATGTTCCAAACACTTGTCCGTATTATGCCTTGATAGCTCCATTTGTGCCAGACGATAGTGAGCTTTAGGATGCGGGAACCTCTCACAGACAATCTCAAAACAGAGCCAAGTTAAGTAATTTAAACCTGATAAACAACCTCGAATCCTGTTAAACACATATCCCAAATTTCTTGAATCAAAGACGCTTTAGAGACCAGATCATCCATCTGGAACACAATTACGGTAACGATTAAAAAATAAAAAATTACCAATTCATCAATATCAGTCTCATGCGTCTTCAAACTCTGCTCCACTTGGAGAGTCAAATTGAGACCAACTTCTTCTATTTCAGGATGGCAAGAGAACAGAGAATAGTTGTTTTTAACAACCTTAAGAAGGCAATGAATCTAGAATCAGCAGAACCTCACCTTGTGTCTTTGGAAAGCACGGAGATATGAGATCAATGTGACAAGAGTTTCCATTGGCGGATCTTCGCTGAAAACAAATCAATTTCCATTGTATGATCATCTCTGCTTACGTGTTTGAGATGTATTTGAAAGCTACCGAATGAACTTGATAATGAAGTTCAATTGGTTCCACATTTTGTTGTTTTTTAACGTTGATTTTCAGGGGGTAATAATAATAGTCTCCTAGCTGACAGGAACAAGCTGCTTCGAAGAGATAATCAGCAATCTAAAAGAAACTTGGTTGGAAATGAAGATACAATAAGACAAACTTTAAGAACATCGCAGGTCTCCTCTTTAGCATGCAACTTCGCCATGAAGAAATAACAGAGCCAATGGAACTCTTCAACCAAACTACCACTCGGTGGCTTTGCCAAAGCTAGAGCTTCTTCGAAGTGGTGAAGAGATTCTGACCTGAGTTTCCTCACATAAGGCACTCGTTTCTTCCGGATATCGTCATCTGCTAACTGAATGAACAAGTGAAAATATGTAAAAGATAAACAACGGAAAAAAATGGTTTGAAAACTCACAGTGTCCAGAAACCGTTCCAAACGAGTGGCTACTTGATAAAGACAATTGGCGTGTTGGAAATGTAGAACGGCCATTGTTCCATCCATTTGAATAGCAAACTTAAAAAAACAGTAAGTCTTGTAACAAACACAATAGGCTTACTCTATAAGGCATAGTTAACCAATCCAATTGGTATATCATTTCGTCATTACTGAGTTGGAACAAGTCACAAACACAAAAATGTCCTAACATTGCCCATGCAGAAACCATGTAAGAGCTTGTCATTTTAACTGCTGAACTCGTGAAAAAAAGCTAAAAGTACTAATTGATTCCCATCAGTGCACGTTTCACTTACGGAGCAGTACGTTATCGTTTCTGCATTATTATTCTGCCTATAGTTGTGAAGAGCCATCACGAACCAAATCCGGCTTTGTAATTCAGATTCTTGAGCGACTGGCCATTCAGGTCTGAAGTATTTTGAATATAATTGCTCAAAGATCTTGGCTTACTCTTCTCTCACATTGTATCCATTGTAGGTTGTTTTCAACCATGAGCGGAAAGTATCAATGTAATTATTTCTCGCTTGACTGACAGTTATGTGGTTTGCGAACTTTGATTGCAACAACTCGACTATGTCATGCCCCAGTCTTTCCTAGAAATCCAACTTAAACCTTTGCGACTTGAATCTACGTACTTTATCGTCAAACATAGGCATTGGTAAGGGCATGGCGAGATTCAAAATGACGTCGGCCTGCTTCTTACTGGGCATGAACGTGCCTCTTGATTCGTGATCACTTACTGCTTTACGTTTCTTACAAAAACGGCTGCAAAATTCAATCTTAGTAACAATAGAGAACCCCGGAATACCCAAAAGCACATTGGAGGCACTGAGCAATTTCTTCGTTGATGTTCGACCAAATCCAGAAGTTTTCTTTAAGTAATAAATGGTTTACGATTTCTTCGTTTCGAACAAGCTCATTCAATTCTTCGAAATAATAACCCAGAAAGGCTCCCTGGAACCAAGTTAAAATGACCAGTACAAGGACCATTTCTCACGTTGTGATCTCCGCATACTCTTTCGCTTCCTAAAGTTTCGTGCGCTTTCGATAAAACATCCAAAGCTCTTGAAGGCATGAAATCAACATCGGGGTTCAACGAATTGATGTAGGAAAAACTGAATCCGCCTATAGAATGATAGAGAAGCTGAAGAGAAATGATTGATTTGACTGACCATCTAGAACCTTCACAGTTTTATGCAAAGCTCTCCATAACGGCCAATACTTCGAAAATTCCACAAGCATTTGACAAAAGTAAAACGCGAGAGAGTTAAGTGTCTCATTAGAAACACCACTGAGATCAAATTTTTCAATAAACTCAAAGACTCTGGAAGCTCTTGTTAACGACTTTTCTTCCCCAGAACAGATATGATGAAGATATCTGAAGATGAGATATCAGCGGGGAAGGTCTCAAGATAATATACCTCAGACTAACTTTACATGCATCCTCGAAATTCTTCACAAATATCAAACCTTCCAGCCAATATGACAGAATAATATCCATTTCCTCTTCACTCACAACATTGAAATCTATATCTTTCGATATTATGCTCACAACCTGAAGAGAAGGAAAAATATAAGATAATACCAACAACCTAATATTCATGACAAACCTGCTCATGTAGATTGGCTGCCCGCAGCTCTTCAATGGATTTTACACGATCAACTTTCTCGATAGCATCCAACTTCCGAGTGAAATCATCTTTGTACAGAATTCCTGTAATGATTCGAGGTCAATCACTTCCATTCGGTCAATATAATACCTGATGCTGTCAATATTTGGCTGTTTTCATCTAAACAGTTTTTTGCTTCAAGCAGATACTTTAACTGTGTCTTTTCGTTCGTTATAACAGACACGAAATTCCATGCAAATCTAACAGCGAGATGTACTTTTTCCCATCCGTTTTTGAAATGGTGTCTGACACAGTAGTCCTGCCCACGATACTCACCTTAATCCGGGAAGTTTTGGAAAAAATTAGTTGTCCTCACCTATTTCGAACATAAGCATGTGAAGAGCGATCCATTTTTTACCCTCCATATTACTTCTGATGAAATGCATTCTGTATTTCGCATTTCATATATAGGAAATTCAATAATCGTTTACCTTCGATATATTTGTGCGATAGGCTCATATAAACATTTCGGTATATTCCCTTTTGCTGGAGTGTGCTTTGTTAACTCTAAGAGAACACATTCTGAAATGATCTTATACTTTAACATTCCGCTTCACAGTTCTAACCCAGTATTTCACATATCGTCCAGGTGCCAGAAAACAAAGTTTGTTTCAGGGAATCTGCGAAAGCATCCTGAAAACGATCGCTGATGATCACTTTTTTTTGAATCAGACTGACCGCATCAAATGATTTGCAATCCATAATTGGGGAGGGTGAACGAGTTCTAGAGTTTGTCGTTCTGAACCCAAGGATTTTCGATTGCATTTTCACGTCTAGATGATCAGCAAGCTGAATAAGACTTTGAAGTTATGTAAAATCGGGATCAGATAACCTTATTGGGGAGGTTTTCATCTTCACTTTCATCGGGTTCAGTAACATCGAAAGTTTCAACTTTACGAACGGACCTTCTCACAAACATCCCGTTGTTGACTGAAGCAGGGGCTTTCGCTTGCTTTTCCTCTGCCTTCATAAGTGCAAAAGTAGGAGACTCTATCTGAAATTTGTTTATTGTTTATTGTTATAAGTTGTCAACATTGCACCTTTTTGATCATGTCATCAACCACTTCGATGATAGTTTGTATATCATTTATAGCTCTTTCAGCTTCAATGTAATATAACCTCTCACCCCAAGATCGGAAGGTGATGGTTTGAAGAGAAGGCTGAAAAAAACAAAAACATGCATTTGTGCAACGTCACTTTACAACTTACTGAAGTGTACGATTCTATTCTATCGAACAAATCACAGAAAATTGTTAAAATATGTGGAAGGCTGTAACGCGATTGAATGCTAACGTAAACTGAAGATGAACTTACTCATACTCGGCTTCTATATCTATCTCAATGACTTCATAAGACTCTATTGGGATTTCAAAATCAAGAACGCTATCAACTTTGCTTTGTGCTGTTTCAATTCTTTTTTGTAACTTGAATAAAACTGTTCGAGTGAATTATTTCTTTTTTTACCTCTAATTGAATTTCCGTACTAAGACTAGTGCTGGCTTGATACCGCCTATTTTCTCCAAAAAGATCATCGCAAACCTCTCTAGACGGTATACGTTCATAAACCTCAATAACACAAAGATCACCTGTAATGCTCGCTGATACCACGAATTTTTTCTTTAATGTATGTCATCAAATTGTTCATGGTATCGGCATCAGACGCTTCCTTTATCATTTCGAGGCAAGCTATAATGAAACGGTTAGATTAAAACAATAATCAAGAGCACACCATGAAACTGTCGGGCTAAAAAAAGAATTGATAAACGCATTTCGAACACATCTTCTCCGGATGCTCTCTCCACAGCATACAAAGCGAAGTCTAGATTTCCTAGTTGAATCAGAAGTACTGCTAGGTCTCGCCATATGCTCGGATTGTTTGGAGTAACTGATAATACCTAATCAGGAAGAGTAGGTAAACATTCTCAAGCTTCTCTTACTCACCTCAATGTAGTGATGAATTGCTTTTTCTGTGTCATTTTCCAAAACTGCCAAATTCTTATGTACTCCAACAAATATTCTTGTCATCTTAGACACTCTTAAAGAAAGAATTAGTGTTAAAGATTATGATAAACCAAACCTGTCATCTTCGGCTTCAAATGTTTCTGTGTTTTTTTCCTGAACGGAAACTAGAGGATTTCTTAGGAGCTCATTGAAAATTTTCTTGGCTCGAATAGGTTTATTGTTCACAACGTAATGGAGACCTTCTTGAAACATTTGCAAAGCGATTGCTTCCTAGATTCAGCATGTTTCGAAGGCTTACAAGTGAAAAATCTTACATAAGCTTCTTGCGTTTCTTCCTTTCCTCCTTCAAATTCGCTCCAAACCGAATCATCAGTATCCGATTCAGTGGTACCATCACTTTCATTTTCTTCCTCATCCTCATCCGAAGAATCGCTACTTTCGCCTTCCGCCTCATCGACATCCTCTTCATCATCGCTCCCAGAAGCGTCACTTCCACTCTTGAAAGGTAAACGTAACAAAACAAAAAAAAATCTGAAACTAACTAATTCTACTTCCTCAACCTCAGATTCTTCCTCTATATCTTCGTCTATATTCTTATCCTTCTCTTCATTCATAATTCGAACAACCTGAAAATCTCACGGTGGGCTCTCAATAAATAAATAATGAAAAAGTTAGTAAACTTACGATTCACGAACTGTGCTCATCCAGAAACCGGTGAATGCAAGATAAAACTAAAAAAAAAGAATTACAAAAACTGCTATTCAAAAATCATGGTTATAGAAAAAAACTTCGAAACAACTCATGCAAATACGGCAGCGTTGAATTTCTCAATGCAACCGCAACCGGGAAAAGAGATGTGGAAAATGAAAATTCAAAGTAGTCGTCCACGTCGCGTTCACGTGTTATTCTAATTTTCGTACGTAATACACGGGAAAAAATTGTTCAAATCTTTACTCTAAGTATAACGAATAACAAAAAAGACAGTAAACTCTATTGCTTTAACAAAACTAGCGCTGAATAACATTACAGATCAATCTTTTAAAACAAGTGGAAAGGTCCAGGACATGCAATGCTCCAACGAGAATGAGGGTTCTTATTCAAGATCATCAGTATCATCAATCAACTCCTGAAATGAGTATTCTTTCCCGGATACCTCTCCTCTTCTTACCTGAGCGGGGGATGGACCATCTCCCAAGAATGAAACAGAAGCATTTTCATTATCGCTAACTTCTTGAACACGATCACCTCCGAAGTGAGGGAACAATGGGGCTAGCCTCTGAAAAAAAATTATTTCTTCGACTGTGAAAATGAAAACTCACGTCACGAGCATCAGGTAACTTTCTCAAAATAGAATTGAAATGCTCAGGAGGCATGGTCTGAAACATGCACCCATAGAGTAAGATGTAAAAAAATTATTTAGACCTGTTGAAGGATTTGAAGGAGGTGTTGGCTATCGCCGCACAAAGCAACAGCATTGGCCATATGAGCAGCTCCTTGTTCAATGTTTCCTGGGAGAGGATTTTCAATCTAACCGTTGCAGAATGACATACCACTAGAGAACAACTCTTCTCCTAACTGAACTTCTTGGAGGAAAGCAGCTTGTAGGCTTTGAGGATCTGTGGGGTTGAAACTGACCGATCCACCACCAGATGCACTCTTACCAGCACGACTTCTGGTTGCTTCACGTCGTTCTGAACAGCCGCGTAAATAAGATTTTCAAACAAACAAAACACTTTGTCTAATCTTGTTTTTGTACTCTGGATCTGATCTTCTCTTGCTGTCGAAGTAAATGCAATACCCAACGAAAGCTGCGCCTGCTAAGCTAGCAGCAACAACTACATTAGATCTAGAGAGAATATCAGAGAGATAAAACGAATCATACTCACTTGTTGAATCCGAAAATGGTGTCAACAGGACTCTCGGCCATACTGTTTCCTTAAATTATAATAATATATATTATACTGAGTTAATACAAAGAAATTGAAATATGCCCGAACCATTTGCATGGGAATATTTTCCAACGTATATAACGGCAGTAAACAGCTCGCAGCCGAATCGAAAAATCGAACTATCGTTGATCGCAATTGAGAGTTGTGAATGTTAAACCGACGAGAATATTTTTATGCTTTCTTAGATTGTGTTTTATAAGCCGAAGATGCGAAAATATACTTTATTGATTACTTTAAAATGGAAATGCATTATAAATGGTAGTTGAATCGCTGAGATACGGCTTCACTACTTCAAAAAAGAAGTCAATGTTTTTGACAGTAAAACCTTTATATATAATATCATGCTCGTTCTCTTGGATCATCACGTTATAATGTGTTTTTACGCGGAACTGCCTAAAAACAGTGGTTTGACTTCATAGTAGAAGCTGAAACGAACCTTGCTATATCACACGTCCACCACACGGGAGAGAAAGTCATACCCCAACCCTTGATTTTCATACATGGTTTGTACTTCTGGTGCATGTAAAAGATCGCATGTATATTACTTAGTCTGATTTTCTTAAATGTTCGTTGCTTCAATCAGAGTTGTTTAGAGTGTACCTTTGTCCAAATAATCGGAGAATACCAAGTTAACTCGAGTTTACCATCTCTGATTCTCCACCACTCTTCTACATCCACATCTCCTTTCACAAGATTTGAATTAGAATATTCTGTTATGAAATCAACCGGACATGCAGTTTCGTCATACATCTGAAATAGTAGGACGGTGTTCTCGATGAAAGAAATAGATGAACTAAATGAATAAACGAACTGAACTGTTTTCGCTACTACGCTTGCTAAATAAATGTCTCGTGATGCTAGCTCTTACTCTCGTTTGTTGATATTACAAGAGAAAGTGTTAAAGTTTTTATAGGAGCTCCTCCTACTTTCTGCTTTTCCCTTTCAAAACATGATAATGAAACTGTTTCTTGTTTTGAATCAAGCATGCTCTACACAATTAGCATATGACTTATATTAAGCCGTTCGAATCTCATTTCTACTTTCACTTGCGCTAAGTGCGGTTGTTTTCCTGATTTTTTTCATTTTTCAGATTTGATTTAACAGTATGTTCGCCTCAGCGACAAGAAACAACAAAAATTGCGTAAATAAGAGAAAGCGGAAGACTTGGTCAGTAATACTTCTTTGAGCACTGAATATTATCTAACACATTTGATCTTTGGACTCTTAAAAGACTTTATGTCGTTCATAGTTGATAATAACTTTATGAATTCACCTTTTCTAATCCATTCACAAATATAACTTTTATTCTTTATTTACAGAACACAAGAGAATGGCAGTGAACGGACCCCTCCCCGACGATTTCATGCGCCTCCCCAGCGATTTTTTAATGCCCATAAAGCCTGTTAACTCTACAAGTTTTGCCGTGCTAGGTTTATCAAAAGGTTCAATGACTTTTACAAATATGGTTTGAGATCAAACAAAACTTCCTTTGGAAATTGTGTATGAAAATGTTTCGAACGTGAAGGGTGGTTGTGATGCTATCAAGACAATGAAGGTAAATAGAAAGCGGATTATAGCATGAATAACATTCTTGAAGGTTCGCGGTGCGCCTGCCATTGCTACTGTCGCTCTGAGAACGGTCAGTTGCGAGTTGCAAGCCTTCGCAAAACATCATGAAACCATGCAAAGTAGTGATATTGAAGGATTAATAAATTCTGTGGTATATGAAGCTGATGCATTACAATTCTCAATTTCTATTCTAGGCGCAGCAATTGATTGCCTGCCGTCCAACAGCTATAGATTTAATGAATGCTATGAGCCAAGTGTGCAAAGCAGCGACATATGGCGCGACTGCAATCGACAAAGTTGCCAAGTAATTACTATTGCATCATTCGGCTTGTCACTGTTTTTCTCTACTAGAATACAGGAGGTCATCGACTCTCTGTTAGATGCTGAAATTGAACAGAACCGAGTGTTGGTCTGGAATGGCTACCAAGAAGTATGGTTCCTTTTTTTTTGTTGGGCTATAGTGATCTTCTAGGTTCTCTCTACTAAACCGGAAGGGCATCAATTCACTATTATGACTATTTGCAACACTGGAACGTTGGCTACTTCGTCCTGGGGAACTGCTTTAGGTAGGCTACATTTGCATGTGCATGTAATACGTTCATGAATTCAGGTGTCATATATGCCTTGTTCCGAAACAACAAATTGAAAATGGTTTACGCTCTCGAAACAAGACCGTACTATCAAGTAAGATTACTTGTATTGAATTTCAAAAAATAGCTTATCAGGGATTACGTTTGACTGCTACGGAGCTTTCTTCGTTCGGAGTACCTTTCAAGGTTATTCCCGATGGGGCTGCTGCATCTGCCATGAGGAAGTTCAAAGTTGATGCCGTTTTAACAGGTTATTTCATAAAAGATATGATGGTGAATCAATGAGTCTTATCTTCAGGGGTGGATCAAGTAACTTTGAACGGTGACTTTGCCAATAAAATAGGAACTTATGCTTTATCGATTGCTGCAAAAGAACATGGCATTCCTTTCTATCCTGTGGTGAGTGATAGCACATGTTCAAACTGATCATTCTACGTTTAAGGTTCCGAGAACATCTGTCAATCTCAATAGGTATAATGGAGATGAGATTGTTATAGAAGAAAGACCCAGCAAGGAAATGCTTGCTCAGAAAGGTACTCTTCAATGGTGTTGTTGAGAGTATCATATATGACATTTCAGATGTTTATATCGCCCCAGCTGAAACGCCTGTGTGGAACCCTGCCTTTGATGTAACTCCAGCTCCTTTGATCACGAAATTCATTACTGATTTTGGTAACTTCAAGCCCGAGGAGATCAAAGAGGCTGTTAAGATATTGAAAGATTAGCTTACACAGTGGAGATGCTCATCCACTCATAGTTCACGTTGTTCGTTGTTGATTTGACTGTTCTAAAATAAATTTTCGAGTACATAGTTTATTTCGTAAAGATGGAGTACGGTTCTCCTTCAGTACTATCACATTGTTATCATATCTTTACTCAAATATGTGTTGCAGGATCTCAGCTGAGCATATAACATCTGTAAATTATTTTTGAACAACTTCGAAGGTTAGAAACTTGTTCTTCTGTTTTACATACGTCTAGATTTATAGGAGATAATGGATCCTTCGGTTGCTTCTAGCAGCATGTTCAGTTTGGACACTGAGAAGAACCGAATCGAATTGTGTAGCACAATCCTTCGAGAGCTTCTGGGACTGTATGAGAACATAGGCCAGCGTCAGAAACTGCCTACAACAGAAGAAGAAGACAAAGTTCTTTTGAAAAGGGAAATGGAATCTTATCAGCGAGCGATCAGAAATATTAATATCGTCGTGGAAGAGCTGGAATCAGTGGAATTAGCAATGATTAGGACGTCTAAGAAAAACAGTCAAGGTGGCAAATGCAATTTGGAGATGGAGCTGGAAAGTATTCAGAGTCGAACAAATTATAGAAGCATTCTGGAGAAAGCGAAGAGCTTTGAAGGAAAGATGGAAGAAATCATTCGACGTAATGAGATGAACATTGATGCCGATGCTGATTGTTTGTGTGCCACTCCTGGTACGAGTACGGAAACAGAAAGAATCAGTGCCGTTCAGAAAAAGATAAAAGAGCTATCAGACCTTTGCGATTTGATGTCCACCAGAAGAATTGCCCGTATGGAAGCCGAGAAAGCGTTAGCTGCCCGCTCTAGGCTGGATTCATCGAAGTGCAACAAGGAGAATGTTCCTGTGTCCTCGCGCAATGCAAAGAAAGTGGTCCCACTTGTACCAGCAGCTCAACCACAAATGACACATTTATCCTCGCTTCCTCCTGCTCTTAGTGCTATGATAGTTCAACAGTTCAATGCAGACTTGCGTAATGCATTAGAAAATGGAATTCCTCACGATGACCCAGTATTAAACGTTGATGCAGCGCATGACCCAAATGCAGTCTGTATTTCGCTTAGCGATGTTTTACCGCTTCTTAGTGCTGGCTTGAATTCTGGAATAACACCAAGTTCTCTCAGTGCAAATTCAACAATGAAAGCTCAGGAATACTCTACAGAAGAGGCTTGTTATAATGCAATATTGCGTTCTTTCATGCAGCTCCCTCCAGTAGATCCCACCTGTTTGGATGGTAACACTCAAAATCCTTCCAAAGTTAGAATTCCTCCAAACACAATGAGAACCATAACCAACTTACCCAATACAGCACCAGTTGTGAAAGTCACGAAAATAGTATCTGCTAACATGGATTCGAAAGCTTCAAGTTGGTTTAACACGCAGCATATTTCTCTAGTTCACGTTCATTCAGAAAACGACTCTACCTCTTCAAATCCTTTCGGAAAATTCAGAAACAATAAACTTCCAGTCAGGCCATATTCAGGTACACTGCACATTTTTTTCTGATTTGATTTATAATATCAGAGAATGACAACCAGAAGAAAGGACCTGAGCGTCCGAAAGATGATCCTTCTAAAAAACGACCATCCAAAGACGATAAACCTCCTTCAAGTGAACCACCGGTACCTGTAAGGTTACCATACTATAATTATGAACCAGAAGATTATGTTCCCATTGATGGCCGATATAAAGTCGTGCCCCAGCTTGAGCGTCAACGCAGTGGAGCTTATGGTATGCTTCCTCTACCGGTAAGCAGAAAAAGATAACTTGTATGAATTGACAATCATTTTCAGTATATCCAATTCCTTCCTTGGGTACCGGTCGCCCCTCCAACTTACTTCGACGATACTTCTCCATTCCGCCCGCGAGATGGAAGGTTCGCCAAGTCTTACAGCCAGGTGTTTCACCGTCCGCCTCCTTGAAAGTAGAAACGAATTAATGATTTGAATAAGATGTTGCATTTCGTGGATCCGCTTGGTTGTATTATTCTTTCCGGGCAAACTCAAGAGTTATCACTCTAGCATAATGTAATTAACAAATCCTTTCAATTAATCATAATAAAACATCTTGTCACTATGTTGTTTTCAAGTAAAGATCAGTACGTAATCTGTAACTGAAAAATCATTTTTGGCTTGCTGCATCAAAGATAATTTGAATTGTTTATTTTGGCGCCTTGGAATGCATTTACAACGCTCATCACATGCTTGCTCATTTTCGAGCTAATCTTCGCTGATACCGGTTGCATTTTTTTTTAGATTCTATTTATAGGCTCTCTTCCGGTTTCGTGATTATACAATACGTTTCAAGACAGGTGGAATCATTTTGCAAGTATGTTTACAGTAGTTTATCTGACTGGAAATAATTTATTTAAGATTTGTGAGACTGCAAGCGTGAAATCTGATCAGGTTCGAATTCGAATGCAAATAAATTAAGTAGTTTTACTAATGGGAATGGTCTCAATATCCTGCAGGGACTTGCTTTGTTTTTCGTCGGAAGTCACCACTAGCTGAAATTCCATCGGTGCCAGAGGTAATGCCTTGAACGATTCCTTCAAATCCTGTAGTATTTCTGAATTTCTGTCCGTATTTCCATTCAAGGACCGATTTCAGCTCCTATGTCATAATAATGTTAAATTAATTTTTGAAAGTCTTGGGGGGTTACCTTGGGGAAAGAATCATCAAGTTGAGTGATATCTGGTGTGAACTGATTATGAATCATGGGTGAATCAATTGCTTCTTTGATTGATTGGCCAAAAACTAGAGAGCGGATTACTGCCTTTGCAACTGATGAGATGATTTTTGAGCCACCCGATCCGCCAATAACCATGCGGGGCTTAAGAGAATTTCATCGACTTGCATTTAAGATGTCTCTAACCTCTTTAGTTTTCTTGTTGAAAATTACCATTGGGCTCATGCTGCTCATTGGTCTTTTTCCTGGAGCGATAAAGTTGGTCTCAGAAGGAGCAAAACCAAATCTGGACGGAATAGAGTTCAGTTTCCCATTAGTGTCAGTGTGACATACCCATTAGCCATTCCCGGAGTTGAGAAATCGTCCATTTCGTCGTTCCATAAAATTCCGTATGCTTCTGACTCTACGGCAGCACCGAACCTGAGGAGTATTGCAACTAAGGACTCATAATATTTTATACCATCTGTTGATTGTTGTAGTGGAAGAGACACCATTTCCGTACTCGTCAAGAATGGTTACTTGTGAAGTTCCATGGTCAGGTACCTTCAAAAATGCATTTTAGTTTTTTTTTTCTCAATTTTAATATACATGAGCTTGATCGATCCCTCCGTAGCTTTCTGTGGGTTGTGCTTTGTCTTGAACGCGAGAAATAACCCAATCCAAGTAGCTCTGAGTTGTTAAATTTTGTGAAAGTTCTAAGGCTCCTGAGACGAAGTCATGGTCTCCGAGGAGAGTTCTTAATCAAACATGAGCAAGGATTTCATTACTAATAAAACCTTTGTGCATAAGCAAACTTCATTGCTTCTATGAAGTGATGCGTAGCGATTGGGTCAGACTGAATGTCTATGTTATGTCCTTCTGGGTAAAGTCCTGGAATTCGGAGTAGAACAGAATCCTCAATATAAACTTACTGCTCATGATGGAGACAGCGAGTTGAGTGACTGCGAAAGATGAGGGTGGGGGTCCTCCACACATAACTAAGTCACCTCGGAAATGGTCGTTGATAAGTGCTGTCTCGTAAACCCGCACTTTATAGTTTGCGAAGTCTTCTTTGGTTATTATTCCACCTGAGTTTCATATCATTTCTCGTAGCTCCCCAGGACTCACCTCCGTTCTCGAACTCTTTTGCCATGACCTCAGTCATTTCCCCACGATAGAACAACTCAACGGGATCCGAGCTCTCAGCTATCTTTTCTAAGGTGTTAGCTAGTTTCAGTCGAGGGAGAAGATCTCCGACTTTGTATGTGGCGTTTGTGGACGGATTGATCCAGTCTCTGAATACAAAAATATAAAGAGCTCTCAGATTGTACTAACTTCATGCTTGGGAATAATCTGAAGTGTCTTTCTTTGACTTTCATTACATCATCTAAATATTGTGAAACAGGGACACCTTCACGGCACAAGCGGATAGAAGGCTCAATGAGATCTTTCCATTGTACTTTGCCTGGAGAGTGAAGCTTTGGAAAATAAAACGATGGCTTACTAACCTGAGCCGAATCTTGTGAAAGTATACCAATATCCTGCTAGTTCGCCGGGGACGGCAGCAGCTTTGAACCCTTCACAACCGTATTAGTGCTCTCATATGATTAGCATACCGTATTTCGATCCGTCACTATCTCCAATGAACATTTTTTCAAACGCAGCAGCGGGTGCACTTTCACGTGCATCGATTGCTATACATTTGCCTTCGGTTCTCAAAAGGATAAACCCTACAGAACAAAGCGAATACTAGGAATGCTAACTTGTTATACAAAGTCATGAGAAATCCTCCGCCAAGCCCGCTGGATTGTGGATTAACAATTCCTAAGCAAAACATGACAGCTATAGAACCTTCGATGGCATTTCCTCCTTTTTTCAAAATGTTTCTGGGAAGAATTAGTATGACAAGCTTCTCTGTTCTAGCTTACCCTCCGATTTCTGAACAGATTCCATTATCTGTCGTTACGGCGGCTTTTTCAAAATGACCTTCAACGCTATCGGATGGGCCTGGCCATTCGAAAGGACCAGAGGACAACGGCTGAAATAATGAAAATTGAAGAAACTTCCTGGTTTCGTTGATGAAACATCTTGGAGGAAATTTATCTCAAACTTACCGAAGTAGACGCCGGCTGACTGAACACCAACAGGAGAGTTACTAAAACGATCATGACTAGCAAAGCCAAGAAGATCGTAAATAAGAATCTGCAAGAGAAAGAATGGGCAAACGATAACTAAATCTGAGAATATGTTGGCAACGAGAAAAACGGGGGGAAGTAATTGAGCGATTTGTTAACGTTTTCCTATTCTCAAGACACTATTACAACCATAACGGTCGATCATGAACAGAAAAGTTAAAGAGAAACCACTGCTGCCTATGAAACCGATCAGGGAGAATCAAAAAAGAGACAAAGGCTAGACTGAAGAAGGCAAGGATTTTGCCCTTAGGCCATTTTCGGACAGACCAAGTGGCTCACCCTTTCGCACCCTGTGAGCAAACACATAGGGTGGACTTTGCGATCTTCTTAAAGAAGCAATTGCAATGAATAAGCAGTGAAGAACAAGAATGTAGAAACGTTTCGAAAAGTCTAAGAAAGGAATGTCTGCAGGACTAAACCTTTGCTGATCTCTGTTCTATAGAGCAAACTGAGCAAGAGAATTCATCGCGTTAGTCAGGCTCTGATGAAGGACGATGCCATGTTAGGGGTGAAGCGTTTCAATCAATTAGTTTTTGAAAAATGTTGGATGATCCTTTTTTCTAATAGCTAGCGGTAGGGTAGATTTCTCAAGGATAGTCTTTCATTAAGCTTTATAAGCAATTAGACCTTAGGGCTGCTGAACGAAAGTTCTACCAGCTGGTCAGACCAAATAGAAAAAAAGGTGGATTTGTTGTTATAGAAGATGGTAATAGAAAAATTATGATCTCACTCTGAGATAAAGTAGAGGAAGAGGAGAGTGAGAGAGAGTGAGATAGGAGGAGTAAGAAATGAGAACTAGCTTCAAGATCTTCCTTTTCAATCTATTTCGAAGAAATGAAGGCTGAGATTGTGAAGGAAGAACTACAGAAGATAATCTGGTCTCCTTAAATGCTTAGATTTTGTAAAAGCTTAAGATAACAACAGGATTTCTAACTTATGCTGATGATCTTTGAAACGGTCATCTCAACACCTCTCATGCTGCTATGTGCCTTCCTCTAGCGTCAGGAAGTTTATTAAAAGAACATCCAGTTGAAGTAATGATCATAGCAACTGGTTTGGAGTGATTAATAAAAATACGGAAAGTTATTTTCTAGCTTTCTGTCAAAATCTTCCATTACCCCAAATCGATTGATGATCGACATATCATTTCCTAATATGGCAATGGAAATGGCGTGAAAATGTTTTAAAAAAACAATGAAAAGGAATTACTGTGAGAATCCAGACTTGTCTGAGTATATCCTATTGCGAAGTCTATTCAAACGATTTCCTTGTCTGTTGGAAGCCTCTGTTTGATAATTTTTCTGAATTATTTCTGTTGCATCTTCGGCAATGTTGATAACAGTTGTTGTACAACCAGACACACGCGTGACAAATATTTCTGCCTTAAAAGGAAGTGTGAAGAATCGAAAACACTGTGTGCCAACTCACCGTAGTCATGACATAGTAATTAGTTTAATCACAACTTATCATAATACATAAATATATAAGGTAGAGGTACGAAGCACTATACCTGAAATGTGATGAGGCTTATAAGGAGAACGTCAATGAACGAGGATTATTTACGAATTTCCTTATATGGTGACAAAAAAACAGATTTTATTCATCTTTTCTATCAAAAAGAAACTGGATGATGACGTTCATAATATATAAACTGATTGAAAATCAATCATATTCTCTCTAGAAAACAAACATCTCGCTGAGTTTCAATGTCATTTTCGTTAACAAAATGATTTTTGGAATGAGTTATCTGTCTGTGTATGCGTGTGTGTGTGTGTGTGTGTGTGATGGGTGTGTGAGGAGCTGGAGCATCTTCATTACAGACAGTTTGCTTTGTTTTCAGCCACACAAGAAAGGCAACGATAGATGGAGAGACAGAAAAAGAAAAATAGAGGAATTATAAATGATATGGCTGGTGCATCTCAGGTGTGAAGACTACACCGGATGACTTGACGTTCTGTACAAATGTCTCTTTTGCTCTCTTTCTCTCTGTCTCTCCAATGAACTGTATGTTCATAATAAGTCATTTTACCTCTATTTCTCTTCTCTTCTGTGCTCTCCATTCAAACAAGTTCCGACGATGATGATTCTGTTAGCACAAGAAGAGAATCAGACAAAGAGAGATATGAAGATAGAGAATATAGAGAGAAATCAGGATTAGTAGGAAATAGATAGACGAAGATAAGAAATATAACATTATGATAGAGAAAAAGGTGATTTTGAATATTATTAAAGTAAAAATGAAGATGCAGACGATAAAGAGAGAGAGAAAGAGAGAGAGAGGGAGAGAGAGATGAAGAAGAAGATGAATATCGGATAGACGATCTTACTATTCAAATCTGAAATTCGTTATATAACCAAATAAGGAAACATTATATTGATCTACATATGTTTATGATTGATATGATCTCCCGGTAAATGACGTTCATCAAATGTTATAACCTATCACAACTATTGTAAACATCTTCAACATGATACAGATTCTTTTCTATTTGTAAATTTGAGAGAAAAGCCTAACGTTGGCTTCAGAATGATTTCCGGAATTGGTCTATTACCAGGTGCCGGAACTTCTGTTTCAACATTGAAATATCGGAGAACATACGAGAGAACTATTTTCTCTTCCAAGATTGCAAACTTTTGACCTGAAGATGATGGTTTTATAATAAGCAACGATTGTTCGTCATTACCAATACAGTTACGTGGTCCGGCGGAAAATGGAATGTATGAATAAGGATCTCTTTTGACTGTCTTTTCAAAATCAAAATGTTCTGGATGAAAATCGTCCGGAAACTCGAATTCTCGAGGATCTCGTTGGCAAGCCATTGGCGCCACAACAACAGTCATTCCTTTGGGCAGAGTACAATACTCTATAATTCATTGATTTGATTCTATAATAACACTTCCTAACGAAAAAGAAACACACACATCATGACGTTTCTCGTCGGTGTTTTTTTTTGATGTTTTAATGCAACCGGTCTATTCGCGAAAATCCCTAACAATGGTTTTTGAAGTTGAGCCCACGTGGAAGGTCACGTGAAAGTGGTGGTTTGAAAAATTCGCGGAAAAATCACGTAAGCGCGCTACGTATGCATTCAAAATGTGTTTTGTACTTACTCATATCAACATCTTCCTCTAAACGTCTAGCAAGTAGTGGGACTGAGGGCATCAACCGTAATGACTCCTTAATACATTTCTCCAGATAAATCATTTTCTTAATATCTTCCGTTGTTGGCATGCGATCAGAATCACCTCAAATACATGATATCGTTTGATTAGTTATCATAGTTAATGGGTATAGTAGATGAGAATGTCATATAATAAGTATTCACCGAATATTTGATCAACTTCCTCTTGAACCAACCGATGGCATTCAGGCTTCTGACCTAACCACCAAAGAGTAAAGCCTATACTACTAGCTGTTGTGTCATGTCCTGTTGATGAAAAATGATTTCTGATGATTAAAATTATGAAAAAAGAAACCTTCGAACATGAAGGTGTCGACTTCTTCTCGAATATCTTCATCACTCAGTTTATTCTCTTTCTGCATAAACAACATGAGATCTAAGAATGCTTTTTGCTTTGTTCCCTGAAATATAAATGTTTTTCATAGAAATTTCCCATTCTCTCTAATGGAGTACATGGTTCTCATTCAGTGTTTCCTGATAGTCCATTTCCTTTTTTCGTTGAGCGATGACCTTAAACTTCCAGAGTTTGATTATAGACTGATTGAACCAACATTTCGTGTGAAATCAGTTGTCAGCTTGACTAGACGATCAAATTCATACCCGAGACCTGTCAAGTACCAAATAGGTTTTATCCACAACCATGGGAATCTGAAGGAAGTTTCGTTGAATTGGAAATGTTTGAACCCCATTTAGTTATCAGTGCCCTACGTGACGATGTTAAAATTGACATACGTGTGGAAGAGGAAAATAAGATTATCAAATAGAATGTTGAGAGAAAAGAAGCAAATGATAAAAAGCCACGTTCCACCTAGACACAGTGTGTTTGGTTGAGTATTAGAGAAACAAAGAGAAGGAAATAAAAAGAAAAACGGATCGTGCCCTATCTAGAAAGAGTTTGAACTTTCGCCTATCAAAGATAACTTTCATATCATCATCCGTTTATTGATTTGAGAACCTGTTTTTTTGACATTTTATTATAAATTTATTCTATATTTAGCAATTTTTGAATTACAATTTTCAACCGGAAATCATCTATGATTGCTTTTGATTGACACTATATATAGGCATTCTTGTATAACCTATTCCCCAATTAGACTTCTCACATCTTCACAATCGGTTTTTAATCGCCACATAAGAGTTGCGACTGCTAGATGTTCTATTCATCTAGTTAACGATGGTTGCAAGTAAATTTATTTTTTCCAATCGAGTTCGTCCTTCCTTTACATTCTACTCACTTGGCACTGGCTCTTCTCTAATGACAGTCTCCTCCAGTCATTCCAACAACTCATTCTTCAGCCTATTTCACGTTTCTCAACTTTTTGTTTTTGTTTTCAATTCAAGTTCAACAAAGGCTTTCCTAGCGCAGTAATTGTAAAATATGAAAAGTTCGTTAGGAGTTGCTCATTGAATTCGCTTCTCGTGTGTCAGGCAACCAACTTTTCTCTCGTTTCTTTCTCTATTTTACGATTTTCTCCTGAATTATTTGTTTCCGGAATAGCTTTCAAACTCTATCAATATACACCCAATGAGTTAAATTTAATTTTTCATATGAGGAAACACAACTTTCATTCGACTATTAAGAATTCAAAAGATCAACTTGCGCAAGTGAATGGGTCTGACTGGCTACCGCGCTGCACGCATCAAACTACATATTTTTGACTTCGTTCTCTCACTCCTGCTCGCTCTCTCTCTCTAATTCCCAGATTTAAAAGGCAGTCAATTGGCTTTTTACTCACTGTAATCCTCAATTACTTCCATCACATGTTGCCGAATAGACTTAACATCTTCCAATTATTCATTTCCGTGTGTTCAAACGGAATGAATTGAGGTGAAGATGATTAATAATCTCCGAAACCTTGGAAGTCTAAAAGCTTTCCATCTAGTCATATATCAAAAAGCTTTTAATGAACAAAATTCATAACCAACCTCAGGTTGTTCTGTTATAATTCGAACAAAACCTTGAATTTCGATCTTTACATGCAATTGCCTTTCATGGTAAGCAATCTTTGTTCATTCTCCTTCATATTTTAGACTCTCCCAATTTTTTTCAGAGAATTCCTTTTTCTTCCTTTTCTTTCAACCACGTTCACTTTATTTTCTATTTCTTTCTCGTTTTTGTCCACTCAAATTTTCTCTCTCTCTTTCTCTCTCACACTCCTTCTCTCTCTCTCTATAGCCAGCTAGTAGCATGACTGAAATCTCCGCCCTTTTCTTTAATAGATGAGTGTGGGGAAAAGGAGTACTTAAACTCGATGAAACTCAAGTTGGAAGGAGCGAAATGTTTTCGACTCTTCTAAGAATATGTATTCTCTATCCAACCTAGTTTTCATATCTTCAAACATTCTGATTAAACCTATGACGCTAAAGTTGATTGCATAAGTTGCCTGTCAAGGAAATAATTTCAGCCTTTCATTCTCGCTCTTTCTATCTCAATCTCAGCCTATTGAATCTGAAGTTTAAAAGATTTCTTACCTTTCGTGCTGCCAGATGATAGCTGAGAGTCTTACAACTGCTTCCACATAGGAATTATTTCCTCCATTTTGTGAATCAATATCTGTCCCCATAGCTGTTTCTGAAACATCTAGCAGTGTGCTCATTTCCTCTTTTATTTTCTAATCAAGCAATGAGAATTGCTTTCTCATCCTTCTCACCACAAATTATGTCCAAAGCACATCGTTTGATGAAGGGGAATGCATCAAAAAATGCTCCCTTTTCCGCTTCCTTCGCTAGAATTTGGACGAAAATCTGTAAAGGGGGGGAGACTGTTCTTGATACGCTTGTTGTTCATTTTGGTTTAGATAATGGCTGCACGTTTTGTCGTATCATTAGGATTTTTCCATATTTAGATTCGTGATAACACCTTTTCATGTTCTTTTCTCTCTCTATCTCTTTCTCTCTCTTGAGCTCTAGGAAGAGAAGGTTGTTATCAAGAAGAGCTCTATGGCTATTCGTATAGATCATTTGAACAGACCTCAGATTTTCGACTGAAAATATCTTGATAACCTTGAAGAATATTAAAGTGGAATGCCGGTGTTAGAAGTTTTCTTCTCATAAACCACTTTCCATGAGTACTGTAAAGCATTTAGTATTAATTATGACCAATTATGGTCTTAAAATTCCATTAAAAACGTAAAATACTTTTGGAAGAGTTTGTAAAAAGCAAACTGCCCGACCTGGTTAGTAATCCTGTGCCTATCCATTCGCACAACTTGTCGTATTGACCAGGTTTGGAGATGTTTACATTACTTTCCAGAATAGACTGAAAATACACTTATACTATTGTGATTTCTTTCTTTTGTGATTCTTTCAATTTCTAAAAGTTTCAATTTACTCTGGCGGACTCTTTGGCTGCTGCGAAGATGAGTGGAATAGGCCCAACCCATGCCAGTATGAGACCTCTTGACTTGAAAATACATTGTTGTAGGAGTTTTAGAAAGTGCGAGCACTTACTTTATCATTATCTGATAGATACAGCTTGGCCCATTCTTCCAATTGAATAGAGAAAGCTTAAGCGCGTTTCATTATTTTTAGAAAAGCTAGTGTTCGCCAGTTACCTTCACTATCCCACTTGAATAGATGCGCTGAACCTATGAGGGGCAGAGCAGGCGGTCCTGGTATCTCTCGCAACTTAGTGAGAGTGATTAAGCATATTCTTAGAAAATTAAGAATATAGTCATAGAAATTCCAGAGTAGATAGAGAAATAAGGCAAGAAATGCCAAAGAGGCAATAGACATCCCGTTTCAGCTGAAATCAAGTTGAGAGAGAGAGGGGGAGAAAGAGATCGCACATTATTTTGTTTCAATAGTATTAAAGAACGATTTTGCCAACTTAAAACCATACTGTAATCCGTATTTGCTGGCTAAGGATTACTACCTTCAACCCTTCAATTCCAATTTTCGTGGAACGAGAGACAAATTGCGCGAAAATCGTTTATCTACATAGGATTGTGAGTACGTGAGAAATAACAAAATAGGATCAGAAAGGTTATGGAGGCATCAATCGATTTACTCGACCTGGAGCATCCTATTCACATCAAATAGTTTCAATCATAAAATCTAAGAGAGAACAAAAAACATAACAGTGGAGATCGGTTTAGTCTCTCTATGATTGTGGTTGTGTGCTGGACACAAACAAATCCCAAACTGTCCACAGTAGTAGCAATTTGGTGTTAGTTCGCTCAACTAAGAGGCGCTTGTTTTATAATTTCTGTTAATTATCCTTAAACTTTTCTCATTTACTCGTTTTATTCGTTTCATACTCCCATCTAAACAACTGTTTCTTTCAGAACAATCATGTCTATGAGCAACGCTGATATCGCCAAGAACGTCAAGGAATCCTTGAAACTCGTAAAGATCGCCGGAACTGACGGAATTCGCAATGGAAAAGATTTCTACAAATTGTATGTATTTTCATGATGAATGTCCTGAATAAGTTTCTTCAGCTTCTTCACCAACTTCCCAGATCTCCGCAAGTACTTCAAGGGAGTTGAAAACTACACTGCCGATGACATCGAGAAGAGTGAGCGGTAGGTTCCACCTATCAGTGACTTCTATGATTGAGTATCATTCAGATTCGAGAAGCAAGGACAACGTCTCCTTTTGGCCGTTCACATTCTCGCTAACTCCATTGATGAGGAAGACGTCTTCCGTGCTTACGCTCGTGAAACTGTCAACCGTCACCGTATCTACAAGATGGACCCTGCTCTCTGGGCTGTAAGAATTCAACATTATGAGAGATTTTATAAGATCAAAATTCCCAGGCTTTCTTCGATGTTTACGTAGCTTTCCTTGGAACCAAGGGAGATTTGAATGCTGATCAGAAAGCAGCTTGGGCTCAAATGGCCAAGGTGAGTGATTTCAAATTCATGTTGATCAATAATTTGTCTGTTCAGATCTTCGATGAAGAATGCCAAATCCACCTTAAGAACCTTGGTCTTCCCCATGTTTAAGATAAACAAATGATTTCATTTTCAAGCAAAATAACCATTTTATTAACTTTCTTTATTGTAAAAAGCATCTCAGAATGTACATTCATCAGTGAAATAAACATTTAAATCTTTTTTATTCTCACAATACAGTTACCAACGTATCCTTCAATGGTTTTTCCAACAAAGTAAACGGTTGCGTCGTATCTCAGACAGGACCTGGCTGAGTCAAGTGACTGTTACTGTGCTCCAAACGCAATGTGCGCGACAGTCGCATGCAGATGCGCATAATGGCCATTCAAGCTGACGCAGATGTGCAGAGCGGTTGCATAAACTAAAACGCTTTTTACTCATATACTCCACTTATATCTAAAGGTTGCGTTAGTACGAAATGAAACGAATTGTCAGCCAAACTCATCATGTCACAACTTGACAAGAAGTAAAAGTTTGAATTGAAAAGAAAACATTTCGAAGCGAAAAGATGAGAAAGACAAAATGTATATGCTTCTTAATGGTAATGTCAAGAGTCCGTTTCTGCATTTTCAATAAGATTCACGGAGCTAATCGAGGATTCCATGCATATCACAATAGCTTCCTCCTATACCATTCCTCACTGCTCTTACTTTCCAACGAAACTCTTTCTTATTCTTTTGAAAGTTTTCAAAAAAGTGCTCCTCGAAGAGCTTTTTTGGAGTACAAATGCTGCCAATTGCTGGAATTTTGTTGTTGGTAATTGGGCATTCTCTAAGCAGAGATGAGCCGTTATTCGTCAAAAGTGAGTCTTCTTCTTTTGTTGTTTTTACTTTTTCCTTTTCAGACCCAGAAGACATATGTGAAGATATTGCTGATCCTGGTCCATGCCAGTATTACTCGGTTAGTCTTTTTCCAATTTGACAACTTATCAATTCGATTGTAGGTTCGATGGTTTTGGGACAAAGTAGATGATACTTGTAAAGAATTTCATTATGGAGGTTGTATGGGAAACAAAAATAATTTCAAAACAAAACAGCAATGCGTCAAACAATGCCAGTATAAGTTGTTCAATCCCGTAGCAGTGCCAGGTAGATATTTTCATTGGAAATATATCCAACTCTGTCGCAGATCTGTGCTTGCTCGAGGTTAATCAAGGACATTGTGGGGATGAGCGTAGAGGACAATGGTGGTGGTTTTTCAATTCAGATTCTGGAGAGTGTGAGAAGGTAATTAAACGTTTTGCGAAATCTCGTTTGTAAGTGAGGGAGGGGAGATATGATGTCGGAGTTGTCCATGGCTATAATAAAACAAATACGTTTAAACCGGACTGTAGCGTCAATTTTCCACGTAGAGGGGAACACTTATGAAATTTTTGCTCCAAAATATGACGTGAAATTTTTCACGTGAATTTTATTTCTTAACGCGCGCAAAGTATAGCTGGTCGTATTTGGTTGCTCGATGGTTCATTTGAACAATGAGCTTCCTTACTCCCGAATAAACAGGTTATTATTATAATAAAAATTACTTTTTCAGTTCTTCTATTATGGATGTGGCGGTAACGACAACAAATTCTACAGTTTACACATGTGTAGGAAAGTTTGTGCCGAACGTTTGTCTCCTCAAATAGGTAAAGTTCTCGATATGACTCATATTTGATTGTTGTTTAAGCTTGTGACACATGTGATCTACGTACATCGTTTTGTAAATCTCATTCGAAGTTCAATTACACTTGCGAATGTCGCGTTGGATATGAGAAAAACCAATATGGCGAATGCATCGGTAATATCAGGCAGAAACTATCTTCTAATTGCTTTTAAAATAATAGATATTGATGAATGTCGAGGATATGAGAGGATATGCGACAAGAATGCTTGGTGTACCAACACGATTGGATCATACTCATGTGAATGCATGGCTTCTTACAGAGGAGATGGAAGACATTGCACTTATGTAGGATTAGGTGACTTATCTCGTATCATATTCCAGTTAACATATTCATGTTTAGGGAGATCCTCAATAGATTGCAAGGACTGTTCTCCTGATGCCACATGCGACAATGGAGTTTGTAAATGCATGGAAGGATTCCAAGGCGATGGATTCAATTGCACAGGTTCGTTCATTTTCTGGTTATGAAACAAGCGATCCCCTTTTAAAAAAACGGAGGGAGGAATGTCCGAAGCAGACCAGTTACTTATGTGTTCGGGATCTCTTTGATTTGTATTCTCAATTCATTTGCTCACAATTTCCTGGTTTTGCTTGGGTTATTTAGATATTTTCTACGATGCGTTCCGTCCCGCCCCTGGGGAAGTTGCAAGCCATATATTTCGAATGAAAATCGAGATAACGTTCCCCTTCATAGCCATCTTTACCCAGAAAAATGCGGGAGGCACATTTTTTTTGTGTTTCGAACGGAACATAACGAGAAGAAGTTGACAAAATGTTGTCTTCTCGCATGTTTTCAAAGTTTCGATTCCGTTTGTAAATATTTAAGTTTATTCAAATAATACTGAGCTGATCAGTTCTTGTTGGTGGAGAAGACCAAAATAAGAAGAGAGATTGACAAATATTTTGTTGAAACATAAAAAATAAAATAGAAAACAAAGAAACTTTTTTAAATCCATAGGGGATTGAACTGTTTCAAAACTCATAATGAACTTCTGATAACTCTGGGAATGAAAGTCAATTTGAAAATTCTCATTTCAGATGTTAATGAATGCATGAAACAACCTTATGTATGCGATAAAAATGCTGAATGTATTAATCGAAATGGCAGCTTTATATGTACTTGTCTGGCTGGATATGCTGGTACAGGGTATCCTGGAAACTGCACTCAGAGCAAAAGTAATAATTGGTGATACAGCTTCTTCTCATTCTTATATCAGACTCTTGCTTGGACAAATTCAACCGCGACTATCAAGAGCCATGTGGACGTGAAAATTGGCGTCCACATTACTATCTGGATCATCAAACTAGAATGTAATGGGAATTAATTAATCACAACATAGAAGATTATTATTCTGCAGGTGTCAACAGTTCTGGTACGATGGTTGTCCTGGGTTGTCTCGTAACATTTTCTCGGAGCTGGAAACTTGTGAGAGCATGTGCGAAGAAACAAATGTGTTAACTCGAGCGGGTACGTTTGTGTGTGCATCTATTTCCGTGTTTTGCCTCTCATCAATCCTTTTCAACTTTTTTATAAAGAGCCATGTTGGCGGCCTGACGCATTATGCACGCTTCCATGTCTTGGCGTCTCTGAAAAAAGCTTTAATTGGGTCATTTGTTTTGGTATCTGTACGAGCTCCGAGCACGAACTAGTGCCGTTTTTTCGTATTTTCTATCGCCCTATAGATTTTTTTACTTCTTTTGCAAATGCTTCTCCTGTTTCGTCTTAGTAGGCCCCACATAATTTCTTAAATCAAACATCGTTTGTTTGAATGCAGTTTACCACATACAGCTAGCTAATGACTAAGGTAGAAAGAAAAGCACACGCGTCCACCTTATATGGTCTTTCCATTCAAAATAGCCAATGTGTTCTCTTATTCACACTTACCTTCTTCCTTCACTCTCTTTATACCATTATTCAGCCATTGTCATTCAACAAGCTCGCCACATGCATTTGTATGAGGCTTACATTCAGCTTCAAATATTCCATCCTTTTTCTTATTTTCCTCCAGATAACAGAACATATTTTTTTTGAACAACCCATTAACTACATCACATTCTCTCCATCCACTCCTGTTTCTTTCAAGTTTTCGAAAAGTTGACTGTTTTGCTAAGTTTCGAATTTTCTTGAAGAAATGCAAATATTTTTCTTAAAGTCAATTCGAGTTTAACATTACATTCAATGCGTGAACTTATTAAGCCTTTTGGAAACTGTTTTGGCAACTTTATTCTCCCCCCCCCCCACCCTCAACTAATTTCTTGACTCATATTTTCTTCATCCCATTTCACTTTTGGTATTCAAAGGAATCATCAGACGACGACAATCAGCAGTACTTGTAATCTAATCATGATTCATCTTTCATCTCATATCCTTTTCCAGTTATATTCAGCGTGTCATACTCTATTGAGCTGTTTCCCCTCTAACTTTTCTCCTATTGGCATCTCAAAGTTCTCGCATATTCCCAACATTCATACTTTCTCCTCTCTCTTCCTATTTGTAGCTTTATCCGTCGTCGCTTTTCCTTATTTGCTTCTGTGTCATGACTTTCTCCGCCCTCTAGCTCGATGACCTCCCTGGAGACGTGGCCCTCAATCAATGCCAAACTTCGGTCGTTTAATCGCGACACAGACGACAACGAAGACACTGAGACTTCGAGCTTTTCTCTCATCGTCTACACATTGAATATTCTCAGAACTGATGAAACCACTCTCAACTCTCCTCTCTATGTTCTTCATTGTACGCTAGCTACTTGCCGTAGTAGTGCACTTTTTTTCATCTCACATTTTAGCTCCTTTTTTTTTTACTATCTCGATGATATATTATTTTGGAGCTACTTAAAAGTTCCTTCTTCTAACATTTGTAATTCTGCTTCTTCTTAGGTTCCGGAACTGTCATCACCGCATTTCACCATATAAGCTTATTCACTCAGACTGTTGCGGCCATCAGCCGTTCAGCAGCAGACATACTCAAACAATTCTTTAACGGCTATTGCACATTCAACACCATCTACGGCAATAATCTCACGACGCTATCGTTCTGTACACCGCCGGGAGTCGAAGCCTGTGTTTCCGCTCGACTTCCGGATAGTCATATTACTCTCCAACCTGGTGATGATTAGTTCTCGTTCAGAAGTCTGCTGGGATAAGTTTGATCTGAACTATCGGAATCAGTGTTTGAACGGTTAGTTTTCTTCATTTGATTTTCTAAATTTTTGTTAAATTTCGTAATGGTGAAAAATGAAATTCATTCAAACCCGTTAAAACTTTGATGTTTAACGTATTACGTTGATCTTGTCACAGTTTCAAGGAGTTATCCTTTCAGGTCAGTGGGAACAACGTTACTACTTCGACCACGCTTCGTTAACTTGTCGACAGTTTTGGTATTTTCTTGATTGAATTGTTGAGAGCAATCTGATATTGTAGGTTCGATGGTTGTCGTTCTGACAGTCGGAACATGTTCGAAGATGTTTTAACTTGCCAATGGCTCTGTGAAGCTCAGCCAATGTATAAATCAAGTGAGTTCGCGACTGACGAAGAGCTTTATTTTTCTCACTTAATTAGAACTCATATAATAATTTGTTCGGCGTTTGCTTTTTCGCATTTATCACGTAAGGGCATTTTGATCGATGTGTAGATGACGAACGGCTCCCAGAAGACATAGAAAAAAAACAGAATATCTGCTTTTTCCATTAAAATTTGATTTTAACATCGTCTATCTTTCTCTAATTATCTATCAATGTCCAATTTTAGGAGCCTGCTTAGAAGATTTCGATCATAACTTGAAGAACATGTGTAATGGAGGAAGATGGAGGCAGCAATGGTACTTCGACAAGAACATAAAAGTAGCGTTCATGTATTGAACTAGTCTGACTCAATGGTTTCAGAGGTGTCAAACTTTCTGGTATGATGGTTGTAAAGGATCTAATGAAAACATATTCCAAGATGAGCAATCTTGTTTACTAACATGTGAAAATCCAACCAAAAAAGATCGTAAGTGAATCGAGACATATTCACGTAGTTATAAACATTCCAGCTCGGAAGCCTTGGCACAACAACGACAAACACAAAATGAAAGAAGCCATGGGTGAAATATTTAGTAAGCTTTTTGGTGTTTTGCTTTTACAGTCATTTTTCCAGAACCAAACAAAACAGATGATATCTGTGAAGAAGACGATCCTTGCGAGAATGAAGGAATCTGCATTTGGGTTTGGAAGAAGAACACATATTATTGCAAGTGTAAGGCTGGCTACACAGGAACCAATTGTGAGAAAAAAATAGGTAGGATAGATATTCCTAAACTCTTGCAACTTCATTCTCAGAGTTTGATCCATGTGCCTCAGCACCATGTAAGAATGGAGCCACATGCCAAATAAAGTCAGACAATAAGAAACCAACTTATGAGTGCTTCTGCGCCACTGGATTTGGAGGACCTCTTTGTGATCAGAGTTAGGCAACAAAGATGTATCATTTTTAGTTTGAATTTCTAGAGCCGTGTGATATCAACCCTTGTTTGAACAATGGAACGTGTCGGACAACTAGTGGTTACAGTACGTACTTTTGTGATTGCCGAGATGGTTTTGGAGGGAAAAACTGCGACATAGGTAGCGAATGACATTCTTGATAGTTAACAAAGTATAATTGTAGCAATTGGTAAGAACCCACCAGAGGAAAAATATGGATCGAAGGTTGTTATATCAGTTGAGGTTATGAAAACACGAGAATTATATTGAAGGTTGAACTTGTTTCGAGTGGCAAAGAAGAATGGGTGCAGCAGATGAAACAGAGACTAGGTTCAAAAAAGAAGGCGGATACTCCCACTTCAGGGTCTAATACTGCGGCTGTTGCTGACGAACCGTATAAAGGTATTCTTGATCTTAGAAAAAACGTCTTCTCAATGATACAAATTACAGATCCAGCAACTAAAAAACGTGAACGAGAAGAACGCGAGAAGAAGGAAGCTGAACAGAAAGAGAAAGAAGAGATGGAACAGAAAGAACGTGAAGCTGCAGAAGAACAGAAAAAAATGGAAGAGGCGCTAGAGAGCGAACGCCAGTATAATATAACAATGGCTAATCGGAATTCTGATCGAATTCTCTCGATTGTCTATAGCATTGTTTTCACTATAGTATTCTTATGAACTACGTGACACCCTCCACAGTTCAATCAAATCAGGAGCGTAGAAGTTAGACGAAATTAGTTTCGCGTGACCACGCAAGCTTAGGCCAGAATGCAACTTTTTGTAAATATTATCTTTTTGTAATGAAGCAATCGGAATGCTTTGATACATGAAAAAGATGATCAGTTAGAAAGTTTAATTTTCCCAATATTAGTACTTGCTTAACTGACAATTGTCTTTTGAATGTTCTAATCAGTATCTCGTACAGGTATCTGTGTATTATCGGACATATTATTTCATTTTTTGATTAGTCACTCATTCTACTTTTCAAAATAAAGAAGTTTTTCAGTCTTGACATGTAATGACGAGGGACAAACCCTCAAGCAGTTTCATCAAACATCTCATTACTTTTATTATTTCAAATCATCAACCAATTGGTGCGTATGCAAATTTTTGAAATGTGTTAGAGAGAGCACGCACGTGAAACGTGTACCACAGCAGATTATGCTAATTTCAGCGTCATAGCAAAGATTTGAAATAGGCGTTCATGGAAATAATCAAATTGCATTAGGTGAAACGGTAAGCACATAGAGAACTAGTTTAGACTTAATAAAGCCAAAGAACAATCAAGCTAATAAGAACGGAAGCTTCTGGTTCGACGGCAAAGTCATTGAACTGCCAGCATACTTTAATTGACTTCCACACTTATATTGTACTCTGACCTACAGCCATATCACGCCATTTTGTCTGCAGATTCGAAATATCTAACGATCTTTTTGTACTCGGGTCTTATATTAAGTGGGAATTTCTTTCTTCGCATCAGCATTTCCTTTCAGTGCGCATTGTTGTTTTGCACGTTCCCAGCAAGACAAACTACATTTTCCTAGATTGAGTTACGTTTTCATGAACTGAGAAGCGTTTAACAGAGCTGGAAAGCTTCCGCATTCACACGCCTAAATCGTAACCACTTTCCCATCCCATATGTTCACAGTCTCTTCTGCATCCACATGAATCTCTTTAGAGCTAGCTGATTTGAAATGTGGAAATAAGTTTATTTATAAAAGCATGATAAGAGCTTTCTGCTTTTCTGATCTCTTTGCCGATCATTCAATGTACACGTAGGGCGCCTGATGTATTTTTCTTTTTAACGGCTCTTATTATCAATTCTATATAAAGCATTGTAGTTTCTCTTAAAAGCTATTTATTCATTTTTCGTGTTTATCTCCTTCTCTTCCCAACTCCTATTGGCTTTCTTAGTTATCGTTTGAAGAAATCTGCCGTGTTGCCATATTATCTGCAAACTGAGAAAGGTCATCTGACATCGAGATTGCTTATAAATACACAAATTTTTGGCATTCGTTTAGTTTCGGCCTTGCGTACATGCGTATCGTTGTCTGGAAAGTATAAGTTGCATTGAGCCAGCATCAATTTTTTGTTTTCAATGAAATCGTCGTTTTTCCCAAAAATTACAACGAACTGAACTCTGCGACTGCTTCTCTTTTATCAATTCTCTCTTCGTTTTTTGTTCCAACTTCGGATGAAATTTTTTTTTCTAATTTTTAAACAGTCTTATCACTCTTGCATTCTTCTCGAATTGTTTCTAATCATTATAATGAACGTCCTCATCTTCTTCTATTGTTTCTTCTCCGCAACATCCGTTGTGCCATATGTGACTGTGTTTGCAACTTCTCATATGTTCTCTATTCCCGTCTGCTAACTTGCTGCTTCCAGGAAAATGCCAGCCACTGAGAAGCAATTTGTCAAAAATATCCGCGACGTACTTCCAACTGATAGTAAGACTTGGAATGTGGTCATCATCTCTAATGATTCAGACTCTGAGTAAGCGTTTGTATTGTCATATCGTCCTTCACCTGATACTCTTTCAGCTCCGCCTTGATCGAAGAGATTGGCTCCAGCAACATCAAGATCTTCAAATCTTTGAACGAGGCTCATGAAGTAAAAGACTTGGATGTTGTCATTGCCAACAGAGTCTTCGGACAGGTTTGTAGTTATTCTAATTACGATGAAAACAGAATCGTAAAAGTCGGAGAAGTTATGTTCAGTCCTATTGATAAGAGCAAATGTCAAATGGCGTGATAAGTTTCTTTAATGTCCGAAAGTTTGTAAGATAATAATTCAATTAAAATAGATAAAGTCTCTTCTATTTCACACTTTTATCTAACTCTCCAACAACTTTGTTTAAAGTTCAGGCAGGCCAATCATTTTTCTCTTACAGGGTATTGATAATCATGAAGCTTTGGACAAGTTCGTTCGCAACGTCCTTCAAGTTCTCAAATTCAGCGGAGTTTTGGTTTTCCGTGAAGATTTATGTGAGTTAATTATCTCTCGTTGTCGTTCTTCTCATACAGAATGTTCCAGCTGGGCTAGAAGATACAAAGAAAGTTGCCAAGTTGACCGACTACTTCGATGTGTTCCGAACTGAAGTTGAAGGAAAGAACAGCGGTTTCGACTTCTATGCTGTCGTCGAAGTTGAAGCTTCTATTTATGTGAGTTCAGAAGTTTGAACAACGAAAGTATTTTCTCCATTGTTCAGGTCAACCAAAATTGGCATGATTATTTCTGGGTGCTGACCAAGAAGGAGTTCCCAGCAACTAAGGGAGATCTCGTCACATTCAGAGATTTCCTCGACAAAACCCAATACACTGATACTGGAATCTATGCTTATGAATGGATTTTCGGAGATAACTTCATCTCTCCTGGTAATTAATACGCCTCTCAAGTTTTGAGCATCGTAGTGATTTAGGCGGATGGCCTCAAAACCTTTCTATCATCAAGAGATTCGGCGATATGCAAGCTGGTCAAAAAATGCTTGATATTGGAGTAGGAATTGGAGGAGGAGCTCGCCAAGTTGCCAGTGTAAGCTTTCGACAGAACAAGCATCTGTTTATCTGAATTTTTCAGGAATTCGGAGTTCATGTTACCGGTATCGATCTCTCTTCCAACATGTTGGCTGTTGCTCTTGACCGTGTTCACAAAGAGAAGGATTCTCGTGTAAAGTTAGTGAAAGGCTCAACTGTATCTTAATCTCTTCCCCATTTCCAGATACGCTATTTGTGATGCCGTTAAGTACAAGTTTGAGCCAAGTTCTTTCGACTACGTCTTCTCTAGAGATTGCATTCAACATATTGAAGATACTGACAAGCTTTTCTCTGCCATTTACGTTAGTCTCCTCAATCGCTCTCTTTAATACCTTAAGTGTGTTCAGAACTGCTTGAAGCCTGGTGGAAAGGTCTTGATCACTATGTATGGAGTTGGTTACGGAGAATTGAGCGAGAAATTCAAATCATATGTTGAACAACGTCAATACTATTTGAAGAATTTGGATCAAATTCGCCAGGTAGTACAGCGTCCTTCTATGTCCTATGATGAATTATTTTTCTCACAAGATTTTACATGAACTTCTTTTCAGCATGCTACCAAAGCTGGATTTGTTGACATCGAAACCGAAAACTTGACCCCTCGTTTCAAAGAAATTCTCGGAGAGGAAAGAAGCCGTGTCGAGAACAACAAGGAAGAATTCCTCCAGGTTGATCGAAGAAAGCTGATGTTGATGATGATATTGTTATTTTGCAGAAGTTCTCTCAAAAGGAATATGATTCTCTTGTAAACGGATGGAACTCAAAGCTTCAATACATCGCTGACGACAACCATAACTGGAACCTCTTCTTGGCCACCAAGCCAGCTCATTAATTCATTTCATATCCAGAAGTATTAAAATTGTAAATTTGTTTTTCATTAACTCAGGTGAGTTGCATTTCAATCGAATAATCGATTTTCCATATCAAATCCTGTGATTAATAATTCCAATGTGCTCGTTTTAGATGATTTTAAAGACTTTTTATCCTATAAATATTTTTTTCTATTGATTCTCCGAAGTTCGTATTGAAAGTCTTTCATTATCGATAACATACTTCCTTATATGAGAAATACGAAAACTGTTCCTGTTCAGGTGTTCAGTTGATGCTTGTCTATTCGAGACTGGAGTAGTAAATGTGTCCTTGAAGGCTCTGAGCGACCATACACATAGACATCAACGAATCGATAACATGATCTCATGTCTAGATGCTTGATATGATGAAAAACAATCCAAAAATGGATTAATTCATGATAAAAGTGGAACGAATAAAAACCACAAGTGAGTTCTCAACCAAAAACGAATGAACCTTACCTTATTAGCGTTCAAGAGTATTGTCCTCCATTTTTTGTATTAAAAAACATTTTGTGTCAAAGAAATTCATTTTATGCGATTAGCTCTTGTTGTTCAGGTTCATTGGCTTCTGATTCTACTGACAAAGAGTCAGCCTCTTCATGAATTTCCCCTATTCTCTGTCAATATCAGTTGAACTCCTCTCGCGCATTTGGACCCATACACCCCCTTGTTGACCACACATTATCTTTGATCAGTCATGTTCATCTGTCATCCACGCCCTAGCTCATTTGAATTTCTCCATATTTTCACGTGAACTACGTGAGAGGTCATACCTTGTTTTATTAGAATTCATTTTGTTTATGTGGACGCATAAAACGGTTGTTATTCTTTGCAAGGTCTGTTTTCTTCTTTCATCCTTTTTCAACATTTTTTTTTGCATTCATGCGTGTTTCTTCTGTTCATCATCCATTTTCTCATTGAACGTACAACATGTCAAAAGATAATTCAATAGAAATGAAAAAGGGATGAACAACGTCTGAACCGATGCAGCTGCAGAAAAACGTTGAAGCGATATCGCGAGTGGCACATGCGCTACTTTAACTATCTTCCGAATGAAAATGTCTCGAATGTTTTCAAGAAGAACCTGTTGATTATTGGATTAACGTTTCAACCTCTTACATTAATTGCCAATTTTGGAATTGTATGACGATCTGATCGGAGAGTGATTGATCAAAAACATAAAAAAGAAGAAGCAAATTGATCATACAAGGAAACATCTCTCTGTTATTATGCCACCCACATGCATTGGTTTGAGATTCTGTTCTGTTCATGCTCTACCAATACTTGACGCTCCTAACTAACAAACTTTCTCCAATGTCGCTCCATTCATAACTTCTATTCTTTGATCGCTGACGTTCTTTCCCGAATCCTAGGGAACTCCTGGGAACTGTACAGATAGCTTGAATGATATAGCATCACTTTCCTGTTGATAACCCCCCCCCCCCCTCCCCCAAAATCGCTGAAAAGCCCTACGTGAATCATCTTAGGTTAAGGCCAAATTTAGCGCACGGACGTTGAGAGCGATCGCGAACAACCTACCGAATGGAAGATCATTTACTCGTCTTTGATTTTCTCGACCATTGTCCTTTTTAAACATTGGCTAAGATGATGATCATATCGTCTTCTGGGCTTTTGACATCCGTCATCTCAAAGCCTAATTTCTTTTCCTTCTCATACGTCATGATTTGAACCGCTTTTGTGTGCTGTTCTTGCAGTAGGTTCCAAGGGTTTCCAAGCCGAATTATTGATAAGACATTGGCTGTCGCAAAAAATTGAAAACATGACGGGGGATCCATCCACTCCAATTTACTGATCCAACTGATACTGTTGTCCGTTTGTTCAGATCATCTCATTCAACCGTAAGATACATCTCATCTCATCTGAACTACTGTATTCCATCCTCTTCTTTCGTTTTGTTTTTCATTGAATCAGCCTCAGTCATAAGAACATTTGAGATACTTTGGAAGTTATCAGAAGGTTTTAATTGTTCTACTTCAGTAATAGCAAACCTGAAAAAACATGCAGGAAATTGACTTAGGAGACAGGAGTGGTCTCATCGACCTAATCTATGGTGTAAGATCCAAACGTTGAGTACGAGAAGCTCATAATTCTTTCTCGTTTCAGCCATCCAAAGATACTATTAGCACAGCGTCTGTGAACACATTAACACCTCTAACAGAAACTGTGAAGGAGAAAAAGGAGAAGAAAGAGAAAAAGGATAAGAGAGAGAAGAAAGAAAGAAGAGAAAAGGTAAATTCAATATCATATTCCTCGACATAAAATGGTTTTCAGTCAAAAGTTTCGTGCTCCTTCTGCTCAGCCTTCATCTTATTCCTCTTGGCATGTTTGGCCATTCTTTTGGCAGCTTACGTTGGTCACTGGTATACCAGAATGGAATTTGAAAAACATTTCTCAATGGTCCAATATGTTCCTCAAGCTCGTAGGAATCTGTAAGACTATTCTATTAAAGCTGGACTTCATTTCATTGTTTTTTTCAGATCAGATTTGAACGAAGTTTTTTATGAAGAAGAGGAGATTGACACAAGCATTCCTACAGCTGCTGAGCTGAAGCTTCCAGGAACCTTCATCCCTATTTGGTTTCGATTTGCTTTGTTCATTTATTGACTTCTATATTTAGGTACAATGCGACCATAAGGTCGTACTTACCCGGTTACGGAGAAATGGAACCGTCAAAGAATTTAACGACAGAAGGACATCTGCTTGTAAAACTGAGAGCGGAATCAGAGGCCAACCAGGTTGAGGAAAGACTGTTGAGTAATCATTCCTGTTATTTGTCAGATTGTTCTTAATGCTCACCATCTTACCTTCCCAAAAGATCTTGGTAAAATCCAACTGTTCTCTGAGAGTTCCAAGAAGGTTCGCAGAGCAGCTAGCTCTCAGAATGAGACGGTCGAGGTTCGCAATCGTCAACAGTTCTATTAGAAAGGCTTTTTAAGGCTGATGATGACAGTAATCTGATCAAAGATATGGCAAAGGCTAATGAGTCTTCCGACTCAGAAATCAAGACGAAGAAACAAAAGATTAAAGAATCAAAGCCCATGATGGAGTCGTACACGATGTTGGATAACAAGGTTCGATAAGAGAAAGAAAAAAATGACCATTAGAGTTTTTAGATTATTTCTCTTGTTTACAACGAAACTCTTCAAAAGGTTGTTCTCACATTGAGCACCGCTGTGAATCAAGGAGAAGAGGTCATTCTGAAGGTACAATGAAACTTCTTACTGAAATTAGATCTGAACATGATGGATTATAGCTTCCATTTGGTGGAAAAATTGATGACTCCCTAAATGGTCTTTACACCAATGTTTATTCCACCAAAAATGGTGAAAAGAGGTATAGAGCTGTTCATCATAGATATCTAGTTTCTCTGTTTCTTCCAGATTCATAGCAGTTACTCACTTGCAACCAACTTATGCCAGGAAGCTTCTTCCATGTCTGGACGAACCTCATTTGAAAGCGGTTTGGAAACTCTCAATCATTCATCCAAATGGTACAGTTGCCCGTTCGAATTCTGATGTTGAAAAGGAATACAAGTGAGTTTCAAAAAAAAAAAAATAGACTTTCAATGATCTTTTTCATACAGCAATGAAGATGGATGGACAACTACTTCTTTCTTTGAAACCTCTCCCATATCGTCATACTTGCTGGGGATGACGATCACAGATTTTGAAAGCGTGAAAACCACTAGCAGTAAAGGAGCTGAGGTGAGTGTATAACTGCTAAGATGAGCATTATATGTATAAATAGATCATAGAACTAAAAAAATCGAGCTCTTATTATTTTCCATCGCTAAAATGACAAAGGGCATGTTGTAGATGTCTATTGGCCAACGTTATGTATAGAACGCATAGCGGGTTGCGTTCGCAACAGTTAGCAAAAGAGTGTTAGGGGTTCAATCCCCTCTGCAGTGATGGTTCATCTTTCGGGTCATATAGCTTATGATGACAACATATCCTACTGAGCAACTCTAAATTCTTTGGTTTTATCTGTAAACCCTCTTGTTAACCTACAGAGAGGCATGTGATTGTTGTTGAAAGAAGAGAAGTCGTACTATTGATTTAGTTGACCTTTTAGTGTGTATTTTGTTAACAAGTCTGTCATTGCAGTATTTTTTCTTCGTTCATAGGCTCATAGAGACAATAGAAAAATTAAATTTATTTTCTATATAAACCGGGGCTTATTCGCTTAAGGGGGGTAGGTGTACCACCAGTCAAGAACAAGTGTTTAACTGAATGAAGGAGTTGGTGTAAGATTGAGCACTTAGAAATACATCTTCTGGAGAATAAAGAATAACTCCACTCAGACAACTTCCTTTCTCTCAATTTTGATGTTTCAGATCAGAATCTGGTGTCGTCCAGAGTTGTTGAATTCTACTCAATATGCTTTGGATAATGTACCCAAGATCATCGATGCAATCGAAGCGTACTACGGGATTGAGATGCCATTCAAGAAGCAGGGTACGCATTTCGAATGATTGACTATTCATGACATGCTTCACAGATATTTTTGCCATTCCCGCGTTTGAAGCCGGAGCTATGGAGAATCCAGGAATTATAATGTTCCGTGAAAGCCGTCTATTGGTTGATCCCCTAGTTGATGATGCTAGACAAAAGGAAATCGTACTGAGATCTCTCGCTCATGAACTCAGTCATCAGGTTACGAGATTTTGGGAAAGAAAAGTAATCTTTGTACTTCAGTGGTTTGGCAATTTAGTAACTCTGTCTGGTTGGGATTCTCTTTGGCTGAATGAAGCATTCGCCCGTCAAATGGAATACTCCGTGGTTGAGAAAGTCCTGAACGGGAAATTGAATGAAGTTCGTTTGAGAAACTGTACAATAGTACTTCAGTTTTCAGCATGAACATGAAGTTGCCATTTCTTTGGAGCATGCTTTAGCTAGAGACTGCCAGTCTTCTTCACACCCACTGACTGTCCCCATAGAAACTGCAAGTGACGCTTATGAAATTTTCGATATGATAACTTATGAGAAGGTATCTTTTCATATATTTCATCTAACCTCATCTACATTTACTCAGGGAGCAGCTATAGTACGAATGATCAAGCAAGTACTAGGTGAGGAAACGTTTAGGAAAGGAATTCAGAACTATTTGAATGAAAACAAGTTTGGCAGCGCTAACTATACCAAGCTATGGTCATCACTGAATCAAGTCGTTCCAAACACGGTAACTTGACTTCTCTGTCGTCAAGGCAACAAACAATATTTAGTTACTCTCATGGAACGAAGAGAAGTTTGATGTATCTGATTTTGCTAACAAATGGATTCTTCAAATGGGATATCCAATCTTGGATATATACCGCATAGACTCAAAAACAGTGGAAATCACACAAAGACGTTTCAAAGTGATAGCGAGAGAGTTCTATCTTTTACATCGGAGAAATTAATTCAGATTGACAACTTGACTCCTGAAAAAGCAAAATACCGTAACGCTCTTTATTGGTACAAGTGGGATGTTCCTCTCTTCGCCGAAGTCAACGGCAAAAAGCAAGATATGGTTTGGTTGCACGAAGGTAGGCAGAACAGAACAGCTTGAGCCAATTGCTAATGAGAACGTTTCAGCTACTAGATTACCTCTCAATCTAACTGATGTTCTTGTTGTCAACCCTGAGTCTTATGGATACTATCGAGTAAACTATGATGAGGCTGGGTGGGATGCTTTTGCCAAACAGCTCTCTAAAGACCACATGGTAACTCTTATCTAAAATTCTACAGCCAGTTTACTTTTTTTAGAAACTCTCCACACTCAGCAGAGGCAGAATACTTTCTGATGCTTTTGCTTTAGCATCAGCTAGTCAGCTTTCCTATGAGGTGCTCATACTTCAGATGTCCTCTTCATTTTATCTGCATATTCAGACTGTTTTCAACCTCACCTCCTATATCACAAAGGAAACAGAATATCTCCCAACCAAAATAGCCTTAGAAGGTCTTGTTGCCATTTTCGAGAAAGTAGCTGACGAAGATCATGCTGACGAAATGAAGGTGGAACATCCCTAATATATCAGAGAAAAACAAACAGATAATTCAGAATTTGATCTTGAGCAGGGTTGAAGGACTGTATGGAAGCATTGATCTTCAAACTGTTTCGACAGCTGATGAAACTAAACTTCTAGAATTGTGAGTTCGCATTTCCCAACCCATCACGTAGTCTGTAACAAACAAACTGTTTTAGGAAGAGAAAGCTGAGTATTGTAGGAGCTTACTGCAAACTCAAACCATCAACTTGCAAGAAAAACTTTGACCACATGTTCGAAAAGCAACTCTTGGCCGTCTGTTCCTCATCTAACCAAACTAGTGACTGCTCAAAGTGAGTTCAGAGCGCTGAATCCGAAGATGAACCGTTCTTAAGAGTTCCTTCATCTATGAGAGGATTAGTTTACTGTTATGGCTTGTCCAAAGGAGACGAGGAAACTTTCGATTTGGTTCAGAAATATGCCCAAAACGAGGTACGATCGTCCATGTGATTGACAAAAGCCTTTCATTCTTCAGATATCTGCCGGAGAACGTGTTAACCTCATGAGTGCACTTGGTTGCAGTAGAATTCCTTCGAAACTGAAAAAGTGAGAAACCTTTTAGACTCATACAATAGCTTGTTTGTTGAAGACTACTCCGTGATTCCGTAATCAAGAGAGACGGCATAATCACCAAATCTGACATTCAAACTGTCGTGTCTTCGATGAATACTCATGATGTTGGAAATCTGATAGTCACTAACTACATCGTTGACAACTGGAAGGAGATAACAGAGAAGTATGTTTGTTTGTTGGAGTGGGGATAATAAGATGTTGTTCAGGCTTTCAGATGATAGAGACATTCTTTCTATGCTTCTGAGATCTGGGCTCTCAGTTAAGAACGAAAGAGAACTTTCTCAGGTAAGCGTAAGGAAGGTTATTCACAAGTTCTGTCGACTTTCAGATTCAACATTTCATCTCGGATCATCCACAGTCCACTCGTGGTTTCTCAGCTTTCAGGACTTCAATGGAAACAGCAAGAACGACAATAAATTGGAATAAAAAGAACAAAAATCAGCTCTCATCCTACTTCGATGACAAAGAACAAGAGATGGATGAAGACAATAAGAAGATGACTGCAAGCAGTAGACACTAGTCCTAGATACCATATTGTAATTATGCTAACAGTAGAACTCACTTGGAATACCGGTTCCTTTATTGATACGAAAAAAATATTTTTACTTTGAGTGTTCAAACTTTGATGTCCTGTTATCACGAATACTAAGTAAACAACAGAACAGAAGCAGTCCCTGTGATATTCCTGAGAAAGTAATAGAGGCCTTATCACACTACCTCATAATGAAAATCAGTCTGAATTGGCTTATGGTGTTGTCTGCCACTGGGACGACCTTATGTCGAACGTCATTTATTTTTTGGTACGCAAAGTTGCGACAGAGATTTGGGTAGTGGCGCGGATCCAGCAGAACTCGTAATAGCTTAATGCTTAAAAAAGGTTTCATGGTAAGTAGTAAGTTTTAAATTTATTACTCAATTTTTAAAACATCATAGTCAAGCAAAGAGCTTGTTGATTGATTGCAAAGGGTTCTACGCCCGAAATCGATGAAGACATCCTCCAATCAATTAAACATGCTCTCAAGTGAGAACATTTCAACGATTATCATTTAATTGCTATCGCTATCATTTAGAAAGGTCCAAAACTGACCGAGCGCAATCGGCTGCTCTACATAGCAAGATGAAGTCTTCTAGTGCTCAGTAAGTTTTTTCAATCCTCTTCCTTTATTTGTTTTTTCCTACAGTGACGAAAAGCAGAAGCATGCTTTGATCATGGACATAGAGGGCACAATATCTTCTATCGATTTTGTGAAGGTAAATTTTTGTTTGTTGTATTCAACCTTGAATTGTATTTCAGAATGTCTTGTTCCCTTATTCGATGCTTCATGTACAAGATTTTTTGAAAAAGTTCTCAGTTTCCGATGACGAAAAATGCGCGGAGCTAATGAAGCAGCTGTTACATGCTTCAGATGCGGATGCCAAAACTGATCCTGATAGATTCATGTATATCTTTACTTTCATCTTATCTCCACTCTTATTGGTTTTTAGTAAACCCCGAATGGAGACTATGGCTCATGATATTGCATTGAACTGCATAGAATGGGTTAAACAGGATAAGAAGTTGACTTGTCTGAAAGAAATTCAAGGTAAAATGTGGAAAGAAGGTTATGCTACTGGAGCCTTCCGATCTGAGTGAGTTTTTGTCCTTCTTCTGTTCTCGGAACTGATGATCTGTAGACTGTACGAAGATGTCTTCCCTGCTTTGTCCCTGCTGAAGGACACTTATGATCTCTATGTCTATTCTTCCGGCTCTGAAACTGCTCAGAAACTGTTCATGGAATATACACAACATGGAGATCTCTCATATGTAAATTTCTGAATCAGTTCTTTTTGTAATGTATCATTTAGTTGATCTCCGGGTTTTTCGACACCAAGATCGGAAGCAAGACAGACAAGTCATCGTATGAGAAAATTTGCTCCGTGATTGATAAGCCCCCACATAAGGTTATTTTCATCACCGACAGTTTCTTAGGTATGGCTTCAACTCTGTGTTACGGAAATAATTCAATCTTGCAGAAGCTACTGCTGCTCGCAAAGCTGAAATTGAAGCTAAGCTTGTTATTCGACCTGGCAATGCTCCTCTACCTCCAGAGGCTGCTGAGTTTGAAATAATCAAGTCTGTGTGGGAAATCAAACCTGCTCAAATGAGTGAAAGACATGTCTTCATTGACTCTGATGATAGTAATTAAGTCAAATAAATATTGCAAATGAAACGATCCTCTATTACAAAAAGTTGGCGGTCAAGTAGCTTATGTAGCCATATAAGGTAGATAAATACGATAATACAGGTTTCATATTTTAGACATTTTCGATTTTACACAACCGGGGTAGCATACATAATCCGGACCAGCCGTACAAATCGAAAACTCAACTCTCTTTTATAACAGAAGGCTTTTGTCGTGCGTACATCAGATGAGTGCTAACATCTACGTTAGAGATTCACAATTCTGTGTTCTACTTCGGGAGAATGAAAGAGAAGAACGACAGAAAACAAGTCAGAACATCAGCAAACAATCAGCTAAACTACATAACAGAGCTACACGAGCCATCTCTACGTCCCGCTGCCTCCGCTAAAACCGATCAGCCTTGATTGATTCAAGCGAGAGAATTTGTGACGCTCATACGTTCTCTCAAATCATCGGTTCAAATTGATTATATCAAAGGTTACCTCGTACTCACATGTAACGGTTTTGATTTTTTTCAGAGCTTTCACGACTCTGTTCCGAAATTCGAAAAAGAAGAAAAACCTTTTACAACAAAGAGTAACAAAGGAAAAGAGACACTGTCTCTCATTTCAAATCTCGGGAACAAAGCAGCGATAGATCCCTTTCGATATCTTCACAGATGCGTGCGCAACAAGCAGAACAAAAGGTGCCAATCATTGTAATAGGTTCTCATAAGTTTTCTAGAAGAATCTCTTGACCACTGCCTCAGACTGTCTGGCCATTAGTGAATAGAACATATCCAACGCGAATTAAAAAAGTAAGCTGAAAAGTACTGACCTGCTGTAGAAACAACCGTTCGTTTCAACGTTGATCCTCGAAATGAAAAAACAAGTCGAAGTAGGCCACGTTTTTTTTTCACGGAGAAGACATTGTTTCATGGTATACTCCGGTGTCAGAATCAGAAACAAACAATCTTCTCTTACATACTGGTGTTGATAAGAAGCGAAATTGATACTAATTCTTTGATGATCACTTGACAAACTTTGAAGAATGACAAAATTAGTTATATGAGCACCTCATTTTACGTTTTATGAGTATCAAGAAATATGGAAAGTACTTTTTTTGTAGTCTCTTTGTAGCCTATTCCCTCTTATCAATAGTTTGGCGATGTTTAAAAGCTCTCCGATCGGTTCAGTTGCAACACATCGAGATTCATGATGAACCAGGCTCTCCTCCTCGTATGCTTCCTAGGTTAGTACTTTTTGAATTTCGCTTGTACCAGAAGTTGCTCTGCAGGATTTTCGTCAGCTGTAGTGCTTCGTAACGAGCTGGATGCCGCGATGCCGTCTACGACATGCATCCACTGTTTGTGTCTACAGGAATCAGGATGCAAACCTATTGGATGTCAGCAAAAGAATGGAAAAACTGCATGTGGATATTTTTTGATAGATTTACCATATTATATGGCCTGCGGCCAATTGGGACGTCAGAGCGGAGAAGAGGTTACACTTGCTTGGAAAAGATGTGCTTCAGATTTGAACTGTTCAACTCAATGTGTGAAGGTTGTTCCGAGGACCAGTCCTTGTTTCTAACTTATGTCTTGCAGAACTATTACCAGAGCAACGCTCAGAACTGCGGAAACCAGAAGACGCCATGTGAAGTGATGGTTCGAAACCATGAAGGAGGGCCTTATGGATGCTTGAATGATCATACACTCCCTATTTGGACTTCAGTTCAAAAGTGCTGTACTGGCCAATGCTAATCTGATTTGAAAACCGAAAGAAGATTTCTGTTATTTTTTCAA